GTCACCATCTACATTTCCACCAGTCTCGTATCATTCGCTGCCACGTGTCCGTGTTCTTACAAAAGAAAACACAAAACTGTACGGAAATACGTGGATCACGCGTTTTCATAGACTGACAGAAAACATCGTCATTTCTTTGCCATCAATGCTTCAGAGAAAATCGTACTGCTGCGTGCGACAACTAGTCCATCACTCATCAACTTTACTTTACCAATGGGAGACCCTGAGCCAGCACGCACCGTTCAGAAACGGAGAGGGATTGCAGATGAGGATTCCGTTCCGGCAAGGAAACGGCCGTTTCAAACTAGCTCTGGGGAGGTGAAGGTTGTTCTCTGTCAACGGTGTCGCGATATAGACTGGAACGACATCGCTTCATGGCGGCCATCGAAAGATAAAGGAAGGGAGGTGGCGAACTTTTCCAAGATGGATCGCGACACTCTCAATCAGTCGTCCTGTGATGTCTGCCGGATGGTAGCTTTGGTGACACCCAGGCACCTCAACGGCGAAGATTGCCTGCTCCAGGCATTGTCGTCGTCGCTCACAGTTCTGGGGCCATATCGCTCAAAGAAAGTTCCAGCTGAACGAAAGCGGATTGTTGACTGCACGGTGCTTTTCCCTGTGCCTAAGATCAAATTTGAACACAAAACAGAGGGGAGAAAAACTGACACGGATTGGCAAGATGGAGGTTGCTTAGCTGTAGTGAAAGCAGGGGATCAGGAAGGTTCGCTTGAGATTGGGCCGAGGCAGATCTCTTCATTCATCGATTTCGATCTTGTCAGGAGCTGGCTCAATCATTGCACGACGCAACACCGCGATAACTGCAGATTCGCTGCCGGTAGCAGCAGTCAGGCGCAAGGATTGAAGGTCATTGACTGCTTCAATCCCAACTCGAAAAAGGCCATCGATGCGCCTGAGGATTGCAAATATGTCGCTCTGTCATACGTATGGGGAAACACTGCTGTACCCAAAGAAGAAGGAAAAGACACCGATTTCCCTCGAGTGGTCCACGATGCGATTCAGGTGACACGATCACTCAATGAACGGTATTTATGGGTTGGTCAGGTTGTAAGACATCACGCAATCTCGAATCCTGTGTCAGAGTCTGAGCAATTTAACTAACGGTATCAAAAGTGTATCGACCAGAAAGACGAAACGATGAAAAGGGCACAAGTTGCTCAGATGAATCAAATATATTCTCGCGCGTATTTGACGCTAGTAGCCGCTGCTGGTTCCGACGCCTCATATGGTTTACCGGGAATCAGATCAAGACCACGTCGGCCACTGCAACGAGTTGTTCTCAACAATATCGCCATTATCAGGATGCTACCACACACATCAGCTCAAACCTTTCGGTCGACATGGGCATCGCGCGGTTGGACCTATCAAGAGTGCTTTCTGTCCACCAGAAGATTGATTTTCACTGAGCACGAGGTTTCCTACCTGTGCAACACGATGGACCATGCCGAGACCGTCAATAAACCATTATCAAACTCTAGACTTAGGGAGAGAGTCAGCGACGCCAAGTTTCTGGAACTCATACCGAGCCAAGATAGCTTAAATGGTGTCTCTGGCAAACTAAAAGAACTGCGGTGGAATCAACTCAAGCAGAAGCAGCTGCCGAACTACACAAAGCGTCAACTGAGCAAAACGTCAGACACTATCGACGCGGCCCGCGGACTTTTTCACGCGCTGGAAAACAGCAAGATTAGACACTTTTATGGAATACCCTTTCGACAGATTGATGCAAGGAATCGGTCTCGATACATCTTCTCTCTTGCCTGGCACCATCAGGAAGTTGCTAAGAGGAACCTGCCATTTCCAAGCTGGAGCTGGGCTGGCTGGGTAGGAGGCATTCAAATGAGCGAGCCTGATTTCTGCAGCTCAGACGATCAAGAGATCGAGATCGAGAAGGAAGACGGTTCTACTATGCCGCTGCAGGACTGGTTCTGCGGACAGGAACAAAGCCCTATCTCAGAGATCAGAAATGGTCCTCAAGTGTTGGGCATCTCTGCCATGACAGTCTGGGTAAATTTCGCCAGAAGAAGCTGGACAGGCCTCAACGAAAAGAGCGGCGTTCAGAGCCAGATAGTGGGCATGACCTTTGCTAGTGGAGACTATGCTGTCCTCCCAATCCGTGAAGGCCTCACGGCTTGGTGTTACGCGTACATGGAATGGGACAACGTGCCTCTGGAAGCTGGGCTTTTAGGACTTGTTTTACAAACAAAGCAACAAAAGAGATACTCCATTCTACTTCTACGGAAGAGCGGGGATCACCATGAGAGAGTTGGTCTTGTCAGGGTTCATAGCTGGAATTCGACTCGCGCGGCCACGGCCGGGGATTCTGAGAACTCTGATCCAGCCATAATCTACACGGACACTGAAGGCACACCTCTCGATAACGTCGCAATCAGCGACGAGAGGCCTCTTTGGTTGCAAGAAGCTGTCAAGCGGACTATCTGGATTTCGTAGTCAAAATCGGGGTTTCATTTTTGACTATGTGCGTGGAGAGAGCGAATTCGCGCAAGCCGAACGACCACTTGCATGGTGTTCTAAGCTACGAAGAATTCAGAAAAGTAGGGACTGGTTCGAGCTCTGGTACATCAAACTTCAATTTATTTAGAAGATGCCCTGTTCGAAAGTGCAGCGGTCATTCTGCAATCATGCTTTTACTGTCGAAGAGCTTTTGTCCGACCGCACCGATCACCGTACAAGCAGCCATCAATATTCTGCAATCCGCTAGACAGTTTTCGGCAGTGGAGACAAATAGTCTGCAAGTAGGTTCTTTTGCAATTGCTTCTTGGATACAGTATGCGGTGTGTACCGCATACCTATGCCCATATTGTATCAACTTCGGCTCATGTTGCTGGATGTCAGAGAAGTTAGTCCGCCCCCGACACAACTTCTATGACAAGGAGTTGGACTAGATTGAAGACACCGACAAGACGTTCTTAGAGGCCTGAGAACACAATGCCGACGTGACCTGATGTCTTTGTTCACCGCGATACTCCCATGGAAGTAACCACTAAATTTCACCATAATTGCTTTGATGACACGGGTAAGGAATTTAGTAGATCAAGCCAACGAGGCAGAGACTCGAGTCTTTCTTCTGACCGGTATTGGTTTCCCGTTGCCGGATGAAGAAAGAACAAGAGAGTCTTCACATAAGAAACACAATTGCCAGCCCCGATGGTTATGTTGACTTGTAGCAATATCGCAGATATCAGTTCGAGACATGTGGGCCATGCCCAATTAGACATTTCTTATTTTTAGACCCTTCAGCTTAGTATCTGTAGCCTTTTATTATCATGATTTGTTGCGAAGATAAGGCGCAATTGCCGTTCAGCAATTGTGGTTTCACTTTTGCAACATGATTCGAGCTTGGCATAAGGTTTTGAAATTTCACGTTGTTCCCGCAGACATTAAGTTTACAACATGTGCGTGGTGTTGAAAAGCCGATTGCCAGTATCCGTGCCCCCTTGCCCAACGTACTTGTTCTCCGAAAGCCGCAACGCAACGAGACTCAGATCAGCAGTCTTACCAAGCGGCTTCATGACTTTGGTAAGCGCATCCTTTTGAACCACCCCAGCCACTACGACGATATGAACCTTGGCATATATCGCTTGCAAATGGCGGACGAAGACCTCGATAGACTTCCCACTGTTAACCACCGAGTCCACCAGTATCACAGTCTTCTTGCCCGCCAGGGCATTCTCATGGATGTCCTCTGGCTGCTTAGCATGGAGGAATATGACCCTCGCGAAAACCTCGCTGACACCCAAAGCCATCGGCTCACCACCTCGCATCAGAGCAATGATAGCTGTTGATTCCTCACCGAAGAGTCTGTGACCTGAAGTAATGTGCCCCTGAACATGAGGTATGGGGTACTTTTCAACGCCAAGAGTATCTGCAAGAAACTCGATAGCTAGGTAGCGACCGACCTCATGATGGGCCGCGCGAAGGCTGGGACCGGCAACGGAGGCGTCACGGGTTGGCGTCATGAGCAATTTAGCTGCAGCCTTCTCAGTGGCGTGGAAGATGCGGAGATGCTGAGGAGTCTTGGTGAATTTGGCAACAATTTGTTGAGCATTGAGCTGCAACACCGGGAGCAAGCTGCTGGAAAGACGCATCCCCGAAGTTCTGGGCATCAGCATCTGCTTTGCTCTAAGACCATCCTCAGAGATTGCCTTCAGCAGCGCTTCGTCCATGCTCTTGCTCCTGAGCCGCTCGTCTCCGACCACAACGATTGCCTCGTCAGCAGCTTTGAGCATAGGCAAGTCCATCGGGCTGTCTCCGAAAGCGTAGACATAGAGGTTGTGGTGATTCTGCAGACGGGAGACGACAGCTGCTTTGACCTCAGGAGTGACGACGTAGCCGTCTGCGATTCGACTGCCGCCAATGATCGTGACATTGCAGAGACCCTCTCTGGCCAAAATCTTTTCCCACACTCGACGGATGCCACAGGTGACAACGACAACACCCACGTTGCTCTTCTTCTCTGCAGCGTGGAGCAAGGCAAGAAATTCAGGGTAAATGAATACTCTAGATGCAACGCCATCGCACAAGACTTCGAACTTGTACTCGATATCCTCATAGCGTAGCATGGCTTGCCGAAAGGCCTTGTAGGAATACCCCATTTCACTGCTGAACAGCTCCTCGAGTGGGGTGTCAATGTCATACCCAGCACAGGCAGACTCAGGGTAGTCCAAATGCCAGAAGAGATTGCCTGTATCCGCTGCGCACAGAGTTTCATCTGCATCAAAGACCAGCATAGAGTCCAACTTTCCATGGGAAGTCTTGCTGCTCACCATCTGGTCTACAATGCTGATGACACGGGCGAGATTCTCTTCGGAGGAGTGTATGCGGATGTCGTTGAGACGGATTGAAACCTTGTCCAGAAGTGATGGGGTTGATGACACTTTCCCGAACAATATGCCATGACCCAGGCAGAGATCTTCCAACATGGAGGTTTCGTAACACATTCATTCCTCGATATGTTCGACCTACATGGAGGAACGAGATCGTGAGGTGTCCTCGAGGCATTGGCGGGCCACATCTTTGGCAGGAACGTCAAGGTAGAAGATATGGGTGTAGCAAAGAGAGTCCGCATCGGTGAATATTCTCTTCGGGCTCTCTCCCTCATCACAGAAGGAATAATGACCGTTGACAATTCCGACACGGTTGGTCTCTCGACATTGCCGGCTGATGAAGGTGATCGCACGCTCACGCCAGTAGTATTTCTCGTCCGGGTGCATCCTCTTGAATGCGTGGAGGCCTCCCAGAACGATGTCGTCAATGACCTCGGAGCCCTCGTAAAAAGCGTAGTGTTGTTCGCCAAGATAGGCCTTCAGTTGGCGAAGGAGAAAGGACTTGCCGCAGGCGGGCACACCATACAGGCCGACAATGGTTGGGTTCGGGGCATCTGGAGCATGTCTTTCCGGCGAAGCCTTGCCAGGCAGGTCGTACAAAAGTTGATCATCCATGACAGGCGTCAATGTTGCGTGTAGATATTGCAAGACAAGAGAACTTGCGATGCTGGTGAACTTGTCGAGTGACCAGGAAGTGATACGACATCAAGCGAACATGGTGCCCCTAAATACTTGTAGAATGGCTTTCTAGGTTCGCCCACCTATGACCATCTCGATCACTGGTCTGTTGCATAAGGGAAGGTAAATAATCGACAAAATGCCAAACGAAGCCGTACGCGACAATTGGGTATCCTTCACGTCTGATTGTAGGTGATTGCTTGAACATAGGCTTCTATAAAAACTTGCGGGATCCAACCGACAGTCAAGAAACAATTGCTCATTCAAAAGGGCCATGAAATTTGGTATCAAGAGCTTGGTGATGTCGAGATTTGCCGACTGCATGAACGGATAACTTCATTGGGTGCCAATCTGAATGCTCATAGATTATCAAGAAAGCAAACTGAGCCTTGGGTGTTCAACAATCAGGCAATGAAATCTGTGAAATGATTACTGATGGCAAGACGAGTGAAGAAATGCAAGCATGTTTAGCTTGCTCATTTGTTGATCTGGAAAATACGTATGTCCCGTGAGTCCCCATGGCCGTTGCGCCAAATATTAGCTTCCTGATGCCATCTTCGACGCCCGACAAACAGAAAACCAACCGGAATTATCTAATTTACATAATGAAAACGAAAAGCTTGCGCTCCTCATACGCTTTCAGCGTACCCATCCTTCGCCGGCGCCGGCTTCTTCTTCTCAAACAGCTTCTTTCCAGCCTTGTCCGACAGGTGATCAACCTTGTCTCCCAAGAACGTCTTGATGCATCCGTAAACGCCGGAAATGAGCCAGAGAATGGCGTTGACGAGATCCACCCAGACGGCAGTCTTCATCGCCGTGGTGCTGGCACCCTTGTACTTGTCATCACTGCTCCTCTTGAGGAAGATACCAGCAAAGATTCCAAACACCACAATCCACATGATGAATAGGAACAAGTCCCAGGCGAAGGCGCGGTACGTCTTAAACAGCTTGACCCTGCTGCCAATAAATGGGATAGCGCTGAGAGGCGTCGCGAGAACGAAGAGCACCGACGAGACAGCAGCTGCGCCGGCGACGGTGATGGCGAGAATCCACTCTGGTGAGAAGCCGTTGTCAGCCTTGTCATCGGCTTGTACGCGGTTGCCGTAGAAGCCGCAGGCGATCAGGGCGAAGAGGAACTGCAGGCCGCGGCACACCAGGCGTGGCACGACCTCGAACGTCTTGAGCCACGTCTTGCCCATCGTCTTGCCGGTGTCGGCACCCTCGTTGAAGGCGGCACGGCCGACGTTGCGGCCCATCTCGCCCTTGTCTGCGGTGCGGAATTCGTTGGCGGCGCCGGCGAGACCTTGGGCGTTGCGGCCGAGTTCGATGACGGTCTGGCCGGCTTTGATGGCGTTTGAAAATTGACCCATTTCGATGGTGGTCTTGGGAGTATCTTGTAAAAGCAAAGATTGTAAAATAAAAAGAGAGATGAGGTCCTTCTACGATGAAGAAGGCTGTTGATGCAATATGCGTTTCAAATCTCGACTGTGATGGTGATGCGAGACCGAGAAGAATATAAAACTGTCTAGCAGTATGCAAAGAAAGAAAGCCTTGCCGTGATGCAGAAAGAAAGACTCAAGGAAAACGCAGACATAAAATTGCAGTGATGCTGAGGTGTGAACTGATTCAGAGTGACCATGTTCAGGACGTTGGGACGGCTGTGAACAGTTTCTTATAACCATCCCCGCCAGACAAAGAGAAGGCATGAACAGACTCATCGTTGACGAGACAAAAGGGCTGAGTCGCATTCGACTGACGCCCAAGGCAAGCCGGACCCTTGATCGCTGGCCATGGCTGGATCTCATGATGGGAATTCCACAGCCAATCAAACCGACTTCAGCAGGGCTGAAACCGCCTGCAGGGGTCATCGTAGGGCGGGGACAGGCGTCTGACTGCCTGTCAGTCAACCCCCAATCGTTTGTGCTTTGCCGCCCTGGGACAGGGCGCTTAGCGAAACCTGGGGATTCTCATTTGTTAGCCCCTCGTGGGAGAAAATGGGACTTTGAAGTCGCTGGCCGAGGGGACTCTGGCGTTTGTTTCGATTGTTATTTTAGTCTGAAAAAGCAGAGGAAAAGAAAGAAGATGGCGGCAAGACGCGTGCACGGTTGATGGAGTTGAAAGCCAGTCGTTGAGCTCTGCGCTGTTTGAAAGCGCAGGGGTGAGCTGATGCCAGGCGCGAAGCACACTAACACGACCACTGGAGACAACGAATATCTTTAATATCAAAGGGATTCTACATTACATGGTCTGCAGTCTCTTTTTCTCTGCATTCATCAGATCTAATAAAGCTCCCTCCGGCGCATCGTCGACATCCATGAAAATTTCCACCATTCTCAATCCCTTTCCATTTACCAGCTTGTCATCGCCCAGGATGTCTTCAAGCTCTCCCCACGTCTTGGCAGAGCGTACGTAGCTATCCTGGCTTGCGCCAAAGAAGCTTGGGGCTTGAAGATATCGCCAACGCGCAACATCGTTGTATCCCTCCTCGAGACCGTGGATGCATCTCTCGATGGTGTAGCCGTCATTATTGATCAAGAAGACGATCACGTCCAGATTATTGCGGATGATGCTTGAAAGCTCTTGCACTGTCATCTGAAAGCTACCATCACCGATGAAGAGGATCGTTTGGGCTTTTTCGATGCTGTGGTACTTGGATGACTGAATAAGTTCCCGCTGGGCTAAAGCTGCGCCCTGTGCCGCTGGGAGCATGTAGCCGATGGACAGCCAAGTAGAGGGAAGGAAGAGCCTGGAATGCTGCGGCATGGGGTAGACTCGGCTTCCATGCCCGGATGTCCCAGTTTCCCCGAGGACCACATCTCCCGGTCGAATGACATTGGCCAGAAGATGCCAGATCTTGGAGTGGTCGATTTTGCCGTTGCGCGGAATGTCCGCAAAAGAGATCTTGAAGTCCTTCGGCAGCTCTGGGTAGACGTCATAGCGATGGATGTTGGAAGTCTTCAATTGTTGAGATAGGGCACGGACAACGGCTCTTGCTGTGACATCTCGAAAGACCTGGGTTCCGATCTTGACCTCGGTATCAGTGAAGATGATAGAAGCTTCAGGTCTGGGGATCATGGAGAACTGGTTGGTGTTTGTCGAACTGAGGTGAGGGCCGAAGTACAAGATCAGATCAGAGCTACCGAAGAGCTCTTTCTCGGTCGAATTGGCATGTTTGCCCTTGTAGATGCCGTGGAAGTTGGGCAGCGTCTCATCGATCAAGGACTTGCCGAGAGGGGTTGTCCACGTGGGCCAGCCGGTAGACGCAACAATCTTCTGAACGTCTTCGACGATTCCGAGGGGTCTTATCTCGCCGTCCACAAGTATCAAGGGACTTTGAGCAGAAGATGCTCTGTCCAAAATGGCCGCCAGAGCAGCTTCTTCTGCAGATGTGGGCGTGTAACTGGGTGTCCAGACGGGTGTCTCGAGATTGTGAGCAGAGATAGGCACGGAGACTAGATCCTGGGGCACCTCGATGTAGACCGGCCGGCTTTGCACCAGGCACTGCCTCAGAACCTCGTCAATCTGAGCAGGAGTTTCATTCGCAGAGCGTAAGCTGGCTTGCGCGACGGTGACATGTGAGTGCATCTGCGCAAACCGTCTGTATTCTCCGTCGTTGAAACCATGGTGGAGCATGACTCTGTTGTCCTGCAGATGCCGCGATGGCGTACCAACGATGTGAACGACGGCGGCGCGCTCAGCATACGCTCCGGCAATCGCATTGATAGCCGAGAGCTCTCCGACGCCGGAGGTTGTAATAAGAGCTCCGATACCCTTGATACGGGCGTACCCATCGGCCGCGTAGCCGGCGTTCAGCTCGTTGGCGTTGCCGACCCAGTGGAGTCTGGACGGTTTGACATAGTCCAGCAGGTGGAGATTGAAGTCGCCGGGGACTCCGTGGACCGAGTCTATCCCTAGCTGGCGCAAGCGGGTGAAGAGGTATTCGGCCAACTTGATAGTGGGGGCACTGCTGTCCTTGACGGAACCCATTCTGACGTGATGTTGTGTGACTGGTGTTTCTTTCTTTCAATACTGTGTCTGAGTTTCTTGCTTCATGTCATTCGTTTATCCGACTTTACTCTGTTGAATAGCTCAGCTGCTTTTTTATCATCATGCAAGACCCCCTCTTCATGTGCCGCTACTCCGACACGCCGGTAATAGTGGGGCGTGGCCGATGCTCTCTCCGATACTCCGATGAGCGACGCCGGAGAGTCCAACCACGCCGTGTTCTCCTATCACGACAATTGCGTGATTGATGCCGAATTTCGGAGTGTTCAAGTGCAGCCTGTAGTTGTGTGATGAATAAATAGTTGGTTGAAACCTTGAGACATGAAGGGAGTTTTGTCAAGGCGCACCGCCATCGGCAAACTTCGGCTCAACCCTGCAACTTCGGCTCAACAATGCTTCTCCAAACGCTAGCCAGCTTAGACCAAGCTCGGGCTCTACCCCAAGTAGCCTCACCTTCCACGGCGACCAGCAATCCTGACATCCTCAAGCCACACGCCACGGAAACGGAGGCAAAGCCGAAAGCCCGATCATGGAGCCATCGCCTCGAGGCCCGTATGCCGTCCAAACTCAAGGCGGCGGCAGCTACACTCAAGTCATCTAACATGATCAGCTTGGGAACCGGACGGCCGAATCCGAAGTACTTCCCCTGGGACTCGCTTATCGCTCATGGGAAGAGGCATCAGGGTGACGGTGCTTTTGGAGATGACACTACACCCGCATCTTGCTCTGCGGGAGACAAGGACTTTGACCTGTCTAAGGTTCTGAACTACGGCGATGCAGCTGGGCATGCTCAGCTCATTCGCTTCGTTACTGAGCATGTTAACCTGATCCACAAGCCTCAGTATGAAGACTGGCGAACTTGTCTGACTTGCGGGACAACTTCTGCCCTTGACATCATCTTCCGCATGTTCGTCAAGCCCGGCGACTCAGTACTTTTTGAAAGTCTGACCTACCCGCCCACTATTGAGATTGCAGAAGCGCAGAAGTTCAATCCTGTCGGAATCACCATGGACACAGAGGGCCTTATACCCGCGGAACTCGACAGGGTCTTGAGCAATTGGGACGAGTTCAGGGGACCGAAACCATTCGTCTTGTACACGATCCCTTCCGGCCACAACCCCACAGGCGTGACGCAGTCCACCGAGCGCCGCAGAGCCATCTACGAAGTCGCTGAGCAGCACGATCTCCTGATCATTGAAGACGACCCGTACTTTTACCTGCAACTGGAGAACGACTCCAGTACCCAGCTCACCGCCGAGAAGTACTTGGAAAATCTGCCCACTTCATATCTGTCCCTCGACAGAACAGGCCGCGTCATCCGCCTCGACTCGACCTCCAAGATCCTAGCTCCGGGGCTCCGTATTGGCTGGCTGACTGCCAGCGCCGAGATAGTCCGCATCTTCGTGGCCAACACGGAAATCAGCTCTGCTTTCCCAGCGGGACCGTCCCAAGTCATGATGTACAAGCTACTTGCCGAGTCGTGGGGACATCGGGGGTTCTTTGACTGGCTGAGCCACATCTCTCTGGAGTACAGCCGCCGACGCAACCTTCTCGTTGAGGCTTGTGAGAAGCACCTTCCGCGGGATGTCTGCAGTTGGACTGTCCCCACGTTTGGCATGTTCTTATTGGTACGGCTGGATGTGTCGAAGCATCCTGCGGTAAAGCCATTGGAGTCCCTTGAATCGGCTGCTATCCTTGATATCGAGGATAGGATTTACAAGAAGTCCAGTGTGAATGGGGTTTTGGTAACGAAGGGTAGCTGGTTCGCGGCGGAGACGGAGGATGTGAGGGAAGCCTCCCTTCGGTTGACGTTTGTAGCGGCTCCCGAGGCCGCGTTGGAGACGGCTGTTGAAGCCTTTGGGCATACTTTTCAAGGAGAGTTTGAGCGGGCTCAGACCGTAGCGCCATGAGGCCATGAACCACAAACATGTATTTGAACTTTTGCATATATGAGTGTTTAAAATTCATCGTCTGTCCCTAGACTGATGCCATTATATGGCGGGATCGATCGACTTGCTGTCATCATGTTGGGGTTTCGGCGGTGTTCACGGGGTTCCAACCAACACCGCACTTTGGACCAACAAGAAGAACCACACAACCATACAAGAGGCTTGTCACGTGAAGCTACATCTCTAGAGTAAATGTGTTTGTTGACCGGAAATTATCGCCTTGACGACTTGAGCACCAGGCGTCGTTCCCCGCGACAGATGCCTGTTCACCTATTCACCTCTTCACCTTCATCTCTCAACATATCCGCGTTTCTCTTCGCTCGCCAAGGTCCATCAAATCGGGAAATCCTTCGCCGGTCTTTCTTTTCAATTTCTTTTTTTTCTTTTGAGACCAAGCCCCGTAATCTTCTCGCTATGAACCCCACCCTGCCTGACTCCCCGCCGTCGGCTCACGCAGAACAAATCCGGCTCATGAAGGAGCGAATCCATCTGCTCAAGGAGGTAAGCGAAGCTCTCCATCAGAACACCCACCCCGTCGATGAACGCAAGACCAGACGCAACCTTTCCGAGACAGCCCGATTCGCGCATCTCTCCCCGCTGCCTCCAGCACTCCCACGCCCAGAGTATTCTCTCATCGCCCATCTCATCAGCCTCGACGATGAAGAAGACCGTTTCTACGTAGCCTGCGAGAACGGCTCCGTCGAAGAAGTGGCTTCCTTCGTCCAACAGACCAACAGTCCAAGCCAAGCGGTCCTCCAGCACGGCCTAGAGCAGGCCTCGTTCGGGAACCAGCCAGCCGTCGCGCGGTACCTGCTAGAGCGCGGCACACCCCTCCACGGCAACGTCTTCAGCCGCGCCCGTCGCGTCAAGACCAAAGACAGATCCTTCTACCTCGAAGACGTCACCATCTTCGACAGAACACAGAGTGGTAGAGAAGACACCCTCATCCCCTTGATCCGCGTCTTCCTCGACTTCGGCTGGCACCCAAACCAGGCATGGCGCCGCGCAACCTGCAACGAGTGCAAAACGCCGCTACCCTACGAGGGCTGCATCGCCAACACGCCCCTCTTCGAGCTCCTCCTCCAGCACGGCGCGGACCCCAACATCGCCGCCGACTCCCGCAGCCCAGACGGCGAAGAGCCCCCGCTGAACCGCCACGGAGGCGACGCGCTCAACAGCGCCGCGCGGCTCGGCGACACGCAACTCTTCAACCTCCTCCTCTCCCACGGCGCTGACCCCTCCTTCGCCGACCCGCTGCACAGCATCGTCTCGTGCCAAATCATGCCCGCAGACCTGCGCGGCAGCTGGCTCGACGCCCACAGCTTCGCGCAGACGCCGTTTTCCCCGCGGCGGCGGGCGATGGCGGAGCACATCCTCGAGTCCGGCGCCGCGGGGGTTGATGACGTGAGACGGTTACTGTACTGCGACATCTTGGACCGCCAGCGCGGGGATTCCTACGAGACAACGGCGTTTGCGCGGGCGTGTGCGGGACAGGACTGGGAGTTTGCGGAGTGGCTATTGGAAAAGGGGGCGGATCCGGAGTTGTGTATGGGGCTTGCGCTGCTGCGACAGTATTGGTCGGAGCCGTGGGTTGGCCCGACTAAGCCGGAGGCTGTGAGGGAGCTCATCGAAAGAGTGAAAGGGAGGAAGGCGTAATCGTCTTGTTGGTTCCAAACGGTGTCGATACCGTAGACACTCTTGAAGCCTATTAGATTATGAAAGATCGCCAATGAGAGCCCAACTCCTCCTCCAGCCTGACAAACTTAGCAGTGCTAGTTCCAGCTACCTCTTTGTTCGAATGATCTGATGATATTGACGCCTCTGAACTGCTCCTGTTTTCCGAGACCGAGCCAGCACAGACTAATATCACCTTCAACGTGGTCAGGAACCGTTTCTTTCATCCAATCATCTGAGCCCTCATCAGACGACCGAAGTACATCCTCAACGACGCTCACTCCTACCCTGGGTCAGAGAGCAACAACACAAGCTTTTCTTGGCATTCTTAATGATACAATCCCGTGCTCTTGGCGCGCAAAGCAAACGTTTTCTAAACCACAGACCCTTTCGCCCAAGTATTACGCAAGAAAAACGCCCAACCGTCCGACAACAACCCTGAAAGTCTAACTGATAGAGTCCTGGATGACATTCTTCATCAGCTCGTGGTTGTGCGAGTAGTCAATCTCGACGTCCACGACGCACACTCCCACGTGGCTCAGGGCCTCGCGCATCACGCCCTCCAGCTCCGACGAGCGGGTGACGCGCAAGCCCTTTGCCCCGAAGGCCTCGGCGTAGCGCACAAAGTCGACGCCGCCGAGGTCGACGCCTGAGCTGCGGCCGTACTTGTCGACCTCCTGAAACTCAACCATGTTATACTTTCCGTCGTTCCAGATGAAGTGCGTGATGTTGCAGCCCTGCTGGACGGCGGTGACGAGCTCCTGGCCGGAGTAGAGGAAGCCCCCGTCGCCGCTGATGCTGACGACCTTGCGGGAGCACGGGGGCTCCTGGGCGAGGGAGGCGCCGATGGCCCAGGGGAGGGCGACGCCGAGGGTCTGCTGGACGTTGGAGACGAGGAACGACTTTGGACTGTAGGCGAAGTAGAAGCGCGAGAGCCAGATGTACATGCTGCCGACGTCCGAGGCGACGGTCGGCGACGGCGGGAGAAGGCCCTGCATGAGCTTGATGAAGTGGAGCGGGTGTACGGGGCCGTCGCCGGTCTGGCCCAGAGCCTGGGGGCTCCGCTCCCACGCGTGGAACTCGGCAAAGATCTCTTTTGAGACCTCGAGCTCCTGTGGTCGGGAGACGGTCGCGAGGATGTTCTGGAGTGCCTTGATGTTGGCTGCGATGGAGCCCACCAGCTCGAGACTTGGGTTGTAGAAGGCGCCGTAGTCGGCTGGGATCCAGTCCAGGTGAAGGATGTCGAGATCCTTGTTCTTGTGCCAGGCGTCGGCGTCGTACTCGGACTGATCATAGCCAGCGACGATGACCAGGTCAGCTTGAGAGAGAAGTTTGTCGCCGGGCTGGTTACGGAAGAGGCCGATGCGTCCGTAGAAGAGATGTGCCAGCTCCTTGCTGATGGATCCAGCGGCCTGGAAAGTCTCGACGACGGGGATGGGGTGCTTCCGAAGGAAGCCGTGAACCGCCTCAACAGCTTCGGGCGTAGCTGCCCTCGCCCCGAGGAACAAGACGGGAAACTTTGCGTTCTGGATCATGGACGCCGCCCTACTCAGTGATGCAGATGGTGAAGTGCCATACTCGGGCGGGACGAAGGCCGTCTCGGGTAGTGCAGGAATGGCTGTCTTGGTGCCCGCGGCCATGATATCGATGGGAAGGCTCACCGCAGTCGCGCCTTGCGGGTAGGCTGCCGCAGTGCGGAAGGCATCCAGCATAATCTCGGCGATCTGGTCGGGATGCACGGCGCCAGTGGCCTTCTTGGTAACGGGCTGGAGGAGCTGGACGCCGCGCAGGCTCTGGTGCGTCTTCTTGGCGGCCTGCACACGCTTGACGTCTCCGACAATGGCCACAACGGGCGCACCCTCGTCGTTGGCGGTGACGAGTCCGGTGACGAGGTTGCTGGTTCCTGGGCCTGAGGTGGCTATGCAGACTCCCGGGCGGCCTGTGATCCTGCCGATGGCGCCGGCGATAAAGGCGGCATTCTGCTCATGGCGACAGACAACGAGCTTGATCTCGGGGCGGTCGATGAGGGCGTTGAAGACGGAGTCGATCTTGGCGCCGGGGACGCCAAAGATGTGCTTGACGCCAGCGGCGATAAGGGAGTCTATCACGACGTCGACTGTTTCTGTGGACATGGTGAGGGGTAATTAGGGTATACTTCCTTCGTAGAATGTCAGTGGTGAGTGATGATAAAGATGAGAACGTAGGAGAACCGAAGCAGCAGCAGGGCTGAAGATGTGTCTCAGGCTGTTTTCATCGAGGCAGAGGGATATTGCCGCAACAACGTGCCAAGGATGTCGGGAGAGGAATGTTGGGCAAGATACGGACTCTCTCACGATGCAGTCGCCGGTGTGGAGAAAACAAAGGCCGCAATAGCCCCTAGCGCGCTCCGTTCGCTCCCGCCGGCATCTCGTTCGTCAGGTCGCTCAGTCACCTCATTTTTGTGGAAGGCTTGCTGCTGCTGCTTCTGAAAGCTCCAAAAGCTGCCGGCGATGCCGCAAGCACGTCGAACTGACGTCAGCGCCGCCAGGTGGAACCCAAAGCGCACCTCGCTCAGTGTTCTGTTAGTGTCCATACCACTGATAGCTACTGCCGTTAGTAGCTTATCCAGTGACACTGCACGCGTGATGATGACTCAACAAAAACATGCAGCAAATGCAACGCACGATAGGGACTTTGGCTATGGAGCTCCTCCATAATTGTTGAAGAAAGTTCCCCGTGCAAGCCGCGAGACAAGAGGAAAGATCCATCAGAAAGTAAAGGAAAAAGAGAGCAAGTAAGCACACGTGTTTCCTGCAGTCAGCGAATCACCTATCGTCCAAAGTCAATTAGGACCTCACCACCACCACCACCACCACCACCACCACCACGATCTTCTTGTGTCTTAGCTTCGACATCCGAACCTTGGCATCTCAAACTTGGCATCACTTACCGAGACAACTTTTCTTTTTGTCTTTTCAAACACCAATCATCACAATGGCGGTCAACGAAATCTACCAGTACTCCATCATCTCGGCCCTGATGGACGGCATCGCCTCCACCGGCCTGCCCGTCTCGGAGCTCATCCAGCACGGCGACCACGGCCTCGGCACCTTCCGCTACATGAACGGCGAGATGATCATCCTCGACGGCAAGCTGTACCAGATGAAGTCGGACAACACCGTCACCGCCGTCGACACCAGCCCCGCCAGCGACGCCGTCGCCCCCTTCGCCATGGTCACCCGCTTCCGCCCCGACACCCGCATCACCGGCGCCTTCGACGACAAGAAGGGCCTCTTCGCCCACCTGTCCGGCCGCCTGCCCGACTCCAAGAACTACTTCCTGGCCATCCGCATCGAGGGCGTCTTCAAGAACGTCACCGTCCGCACCGCCGGCGGCCAGAGCAAGCCCGGCGAGAGCATGCGCGAGGTCGGCGCGAACCAGGCCTCTCACACCTTCAGGGAGCCCGTCCGCGGCACTGTCATTGGCTTTCGCTCGCCAGAGTACACCCAGGGCATCAGCGTGCCGGGCGACCACATGCACTTCATCACCGAGGACCGCACGCAGGGTGGCCATATCTTGGAGCTTGGCACGGAAGGCGAGGTTGAGATTTCGGCTGCGCTGATTTCGCAGTGGCGGGTTGAGTTGCCGACGAATGACCAGGAGTTTAAGAAGGCGGGGTTGGTGGTTGATGCGGAGGGTATCAACAAGGTCGAGGGCTGATGGCAGATTAGAGACTGGTGTAGACATCCCTCACAATAGAAGTTTAAAGCAAGCACAGAAATTGGTTCAAGTTCTACTCAAGTTGCTTGCTGTTGTGCTCGTGAAATGGTTAGAAATATTCGCTCCCATTCATCAGTCGATACTGATCAGAGGCAGTTGGTCACATTCACATCAGAACAAACAGGCGAGCAAATGTTTGAAAAAGTGACATATTAATTCATGTACAGAGAAGTTATTGCTGTCGCGTCATCCGCGATGTACAGTCCCCTTCGGTGTCTTGGGGGAAAGAGGGTATGCCATAAATACAAGTTGCGCCATTCTATAGGATATCTCCCGGGGACGTTGTTCATCGTGTCCCACATGCCAATTTTAATCTACCAAGAATCCATGCCGAAAAGTTGCTTCACCAACCCCTTAGTTGGAGGTGTAAGAGCAGCTGTTGGGGACAACAGCCTGGACAGCGCGGACAGAGATGCCGAGGCAGTCGGTGTTACCAGCAGGGTTCGCGACACCAGAAGAGACCCAGATGGACCAGGCGCCCTCGATGCTGTTGGGGCAGGCGAGGAAGCCGGCGCCGTCGAGGGTGAGGTCGCCGTAGGCGTCGATGGTCCAGCCGGTGCGCTCGCCGTTGCGGGGGGCGGGCTGGGCGCCGGTGGTGTAGCCGAGCTTGCCCTGGCCCATGCCGGAGCGGTCGGCGTAGAGCTGCTGCGGGGTGGCGGAGGCGGCGTAGAGGTAGAGGCCGCCGTCCTGGCCGAGGGTGAAGGTGGCGGACTCGGTGGCGTTGCGCTGGTCGCAGGTGGCGTTCTGGGACGGCAGCTGGAGGAAGATGGAGGACTTGGCGGCCTGGAAGGTGGAGAAGTGCACCGGCGACGCGGAGCGGAGGGCCATCAGCTGGAACTTGGCGTCGGCGGGCAGGGTGTTGTTGGTGGCCGTGCCGTTGGTCGCGGAGAAGGTCGGGAGGCCGGAGACGGCGGCGACGAGGGAGGTGAGAGCGGTGAGGGCCTTGAACTGCATTTTGGCGGTTTGTTGGTGGTTGGTTCTACTAAAGAAGAAAGGTGTAGGAAAGTTGTGGTTGTGGTGAGTTGATGATGTTCTGGAAAGACTGTAGTGGTCGGAAGATTATCTTTGATTAGATGGTTGGTTGGTGAGTGTGAGGGTGGTGAGGATGGTCTTCTTCTCGTCAAGGAGGATTCGTCCGTCACCTTATATACCAACTTGACGATGGCAAAGAACTTCTACCTGTTGGCCGGTGTGCCACTTCATTTAGCCAGGGGACTCCCGTTGGCCAGCAGTCCCATCTCGTAAACATCGGGGACTGGCTGCCAGAGGCAAACTGCCACTCAGTCAGTGCACAGCACCAGCACTGCCGGGGGCGGCGAAGATCTTCTCGTAATGCCGACCGGGGTCATTTTTTGCGGAGCCCGATTGACATCATGGGCCTCACTTGGTTGACAAAGTGGGGAGCCGGACAAATACGAGAGGAGCCTCACAAGGGCACAAGGGCTGCACCGCTGCAGGGCTCATGTGCGTTGGGCTGCTGAGCTTTCTTGGCGATGAACTGGCTGCCGTCCCAGCCACAGCAAACTGGAGAACGGGGTACACCGTTCACACAGAGAGACCAGCTGAACGGGACAGCCGGTGGCCTCGGAAGCCGCACGCCGCGAGGAGCGCCGATTGGTTCGGTTTGCTCGATTTAGCACCAGACCTTCTTTTCTCTGGAGGCCAACGGCCCACGGGACGATTGGAATTGGAGTGGTTGGTTGGTTTGCCGTGGCACTGCAAAGACAGACAGACTGCGCCCCCAGCCCTCTCTTCTCTCTTGCTCTCAACTCTGTATCCGTAGCGTAGCATCCAGAATTAACAGACACGGTAAGGACGGGTTCTCGCATGTTAGTCCATTCCACACAGTTTGCCGCGATTTTCTTAACATAGGGCAGAGACTCGGGCAGTGATGTCACGAACAAACGATCAAAGAGCCCCACGTCCCCTATTTTAGCCAAGAGGGTCCCCTCTCTCGACGCTAGATTAAGGGGGGTAACGTAGCATGCCCAACATGACAACCGCCTCTTTTCTTCTTCTTGCCCGCGGTTTCACTCACAAGAGAGCCAATATCGAACGTCAAGTAAGGGCTGGGGCGAGGCAAGGAGGCAACAGAGTTCAGACGCTAGAATGATCACGGCGTGAGCTAATGCTCTGCTTTACGTGAAACTGACGCGGGCTTCTCCCCTGCGCGCCTGCCCTGTCGCCCTGCCTTCTGCCTTTTCTTCGATAACTCCGAACCGAAAAACCTTAACTATTAATAGCACGAGTCACAAAAAGCGGGCGGAACCGTCGCCCGACAATCGCTGCGCTTAACGTCCTAGAGTGACTGCTGACCGAATCTTTTTTGCTATGCAATGCTAGGCAGAGGCTATGTTGTGTTTCCTCCAGTGGCCTAACAAGCGCTGGTCGCGCTCGGCTGACGGCAAGCTTGGAGGCGACTTGCTCCCATGAGTCGTGCGCTTCCTCGGAAACCCGCCAGATCGTCGCTGCGCTACCCGCTGGAACCATTCTACAGGAAACACACCTTTATCGGGGTATCTCAACCCCTAGTGCGGCTGATGGGCGCGAAGTTGGTTTCCTATTCGTTGGGTCGTCCCTATTTTCTAGTGACCCTGTAGCACTCCAAGTATTCACGCCTGTTGTGCGATATGGTCTGATTTGAGCCCCATCAAATACCCTGGGGCCGCCTTCGGACGATCTGCTTGCTGTCCCCAGAACAATTCAAGTTGGGACAGGCATGGGGAGAGGGGAGAAGGGGAGGGAATTCCACGGAGGGACCCGTTGGGTATCCCGCGTCCCCAGTTTAACCTCCTCGGCTCCTCCTCACTTTGATGTTTATTTTTGTTTTTGTTTTTCTTGTCTCTCGGCTTTTTCGGTGGAGACGAGGTCAACAGAAGACAAGCTCAGGGCGAGTCTGGAATTTTCGAGAAGAACGTTGGGTGGTCGGGGGAATTACCCTGCGTGGTATGCCATTGAATCATATTGACGTCTCATTGAAGGACGAAGTTTTACACTAGTAATCATATTATGTATGCTCCCGCCACCTCGTGTTCTTTTAGCTGCTTCTTCACATTCACCAGAACTAACTAGCCGTCGCCGTCGCGATCCACCATCAGAGAGATCGACAGGTCGGTTGCAGCAAACCCCAAAAATAAACCAAATCTTGGGGAACACTCTCTCCTCGATAATTTGCGCACCCAACCAGATAATTCGCTCACCGAGCAGAGGGCGCCGATCAACCACAAAAACCCACCCTCTGGCCGAGATATCCAGCCCCATGATAGAGAGATAAAGCCAGCTGGGGGTTTGCTCGTAAAAAGGTCCAAGAGAAATCTTCTCGAGTGACCGTTGACAGCAACACGGACAGCATGATTCAGCAGATCTCGACGATCAGGTCAACGAGTCAAACGTGCACATCCGCATCTCCAGAACTGCGGGTTGAGCTTATATGCGTTTAGTGTGATCATCCCTACAGCGTTCCTATCATAAAAAAACTCTGGATTTTGGGATGAATCGAGCAGGGCACAACCAACCGGCTGACCGTCTTCGTCTGAAATCTCGATGTTTTTACTTTTTGTGTGTGTAACGGTGGTGTTGTTGGTATAAGACATTGTGATATTCATCCAGCCGAGATTAATACCACCATGCTTTATTAACAGTACCGCCCCCCCGTGCAACGCCGCGGCAAGCAGCCAGAAACAAATCCTCCATTATGCTGGCCAGAAAAGTCGTCTGCATTTTAGCCGGCCATGGGCGACAATATCGAACAAAATGCAAGTGAAGGTTTATCTCTCTAGAAAGCTATCCGTCCAACGATTTTGAGTAATGCTGTTGCGGACTGCGCCTATTTGCTAAATCGAGAGAGGTCTATGACTAAGAAAGCCGGTCTACGATCAGGCGGCGCAGCAGGAAATGGCATGCTGCCGGACAAACCGCGTCCGATGGACGGAAGCATGGCTCGCTTGATGAAACCGCTCACCCTGATATCCGTTTTCCATCGGAGGGAAATCCGGTGCTGCCAAAGTTAGCAGCGGGCGATCCGTGCAGGCTGTCTAAACTGGCCTGCGATTATGCAAGGCCCATGTGAGTGGGATGCCGTGTCGAGATGCAGGCCTGAGAACTGTCGCTGCGCCTGTGTTACAGCGGGAGGCCATTCGAGAAATGAAGTAGACGGTGAGAGTAGACGAAGTACTATGTACAGATCATGCCCGTGACGCGACCGAGTCATTGTCGTGTATGAGTCCCGACGCAATGCGCACTGCTGTCATCGGCCTCCCACTCGTTGATTCCGGGGCCCGAAGCCAAATCCGACGGGTATCCGGGCCCTGGATGCGTTGTGTCTCTGAGCTACACTACCTACTCTCTCTATCAGACATCATCTGCAAAAGACTGACACCCAGATTGAAAAGTACACTCTGTATGGGCAAAGCCCCCCGCGTTGAAAAGACGAGAACTATCCAAGGCGTCGATTTGGCCACGCGCATTCAAGGTATCGACTAACCACAGCGCTAGATTTGACGCGGTTTGCTTGAACTCTTGCACCACGAAATGATCATCAACTTCTGTACGGTACCAGGATTGATTCTGCACACTTTCGCCGTCAAGATCATAGTAAGTAGAGTTTGAATCATATCTGTAGACTCAGCAATTGCATGGAGCTGACCATACTTCAATTAGACTAAATGACGAACAACGCAACGGCACGCTGCGAGCTCTCTCTTCCTTCTTTGATTACCAATTGCCCTCCTCGAGACTTCTCCGTTTCTACGAAGTCCTAGGCAAGCAGTCCTCGTTCGCATCTATTCAGCAGACAATAAGTCTCTCCGCCATCCTCGACGATCCCCTTGCAAATCACGCTGGTTTTGTTCCTCCGATATCCGATTCTTGTCGCTTGTGAAAGCAGCCCCAAGCTTTCGGCAGCTTGCGGCAACACATCAAGCAGACTTCAGAGAGATTCGACATCGTGGTTGATATTTGGTGATATGTTGTCTGCTTTGTGTTGAGCAGAGCAATATTGCGCTGCTCAACACAAAGCATTAGGTGAAGATACTAACAAGCATCAGCATTACCTACGCGGCTATTCGGGTTACTCATAGGATCTTTATGCAATACGCTACGATGACTTCAATTGAACAACTATGAAAGCCTAGTCACCCTTCGTCTAGCCTGGCTATGCAGGATGAATATCCTCCGCTTACACCCAATCGCCCGAGATCACTGGGCAACCAGATGTTTGCCTTTGACCTTGTCCACCAGCTTTCTCACAGTCTCGGGATCGTTCGGTCCAATAAGCCCGTCTATCCACCATTGTTTTCTAAGCGCCAGGCCGTCAAGCAACTCAGGGTCGGCGCCCTTCTCTAGCAACCACTCCGCATACTCCCAGTCCTGCGCCGCGCAAGCGTGCGCAAAGGCCGTAGTGTCATAACCACTCCCCACCTGGTACGCAACGCCACCGTGTCGGTTCGGTACCCACTTCACGTCGTTGACACCGCCGATGCCCGCGACGAGAACATGTTCAGCCATCGACCGGCGCTGGGAGAATGGCACTCGGCCGAAATCGGCCTGTTCAGTATCCACTTGGCTAGAGACGAGGCTGACGAACGGTTTCGTGATCCGTGGCTCGGCGCCGGAAGCCAAGAGGAGGTCGACGAGGGAGATGTCTCCCAACTGGGCCGCAAAATTGACAGCATCCCCCCCTGAGCTCTTTAAAGGCAGCTCCTCTGCATTTGCCAATAGGGAATTCTCTCCAATGTCCGGGTTCGCCCCGTGCTTCAAGAGCAGCTCGACGAGCGGCCGATTAAGCAGGCACGCCTTGATCACGAGCGGTGTCTGGCCTTCATCTTCGAGCGCGCGGCACCAAGCCTGGTTCGGGTGCCAACCCCAATCGAGGTAGACCTGGATGAGAGGTACGAGGTCTTTTGCCGGTTCAGACTTGTCAAATATCGTGACATCACTGGGATACCTGGACTTGGAGTGTCTGTCAAACTCGCCCCGGCCAAACACATTGTTGTGAAGGAGAGTGCCGCGCTCGAGCAGACACCGGGCAACGGCCGGTTGGTTCCCGAAGGAAGCTTGTTCGAGGCCGAACTGCAAGACTGCCTCGCTAGCTTCGTTTTCGCGGATGAAGGTGACTACGCGGTCGAGGAGGCCTTGTTCGCAGGCCACGTAGAAGTGGACTTCGTCGTCGTCGTCAATATTGATCAGATTCGCCGTGGAGGTATATTCAGGCCGTGGTAACTTCGGGGGGAGAGGTGGGAAGTGAGCCCCGGGACAAAGTGGCGTGGGATCGACTTCGTAATGTACGGGTCGAGGGTTGATACGGTATCGCAACCTGTTGACTTCTTTCGTCTGACAGATTCGCTGCTTCATGCGCTCAATTTCCTGCGCGTATGTCGTCACAAAATTGTTACCCATGATGACTTTGTTGGAAACGTAGAGTCGGGCTGTTCGGATGTCAAGTTTGGAGAATAGGATTTTGAAGCAGTGATGCAGAGAAAAGCAAGGACGGCGAGTAATTTTCAAAGTAGGAAACGAGAGACGATGTCGTGAAGATAGGCAACAGCAGAGGTGCGGGGAAGGACACGTGATAGCCCACTCAACGTGATGGACTTACAGAAAATGGACGGGCTGTTATATTTAGAAAGGTCCCATTTTTGGTCTGATATGCCGTTGGACCGTTGGTTTCATGCTGCACTCCTCAAATCGACAGTTTTGTTGGTGCTGTTGGTTGGGACATTGGTGAAAGAAAACCCCCAATGTCACCAGGCTTGCATTATCAGGTCATATTCAAGAAATAGCGAGCCCATTTTCATCTCGGCGCCCCCAAAAAATGTTCAGCACCCCCAAGAACCCCCAGACTAAGATTGTCGTGGTTTCCTTTCCTTGATTTTGCTAGCTTGTTGGCCCCCAAAACTTAGGCGCCGCAAGTCCAGCAAGATGCATGCAGGTAACTGCAGTCTGCAGGAACAAGCATGAAAGTCACCACCCGGTTCCCTCGAAGGCCGCACATGGAATTTGACACATTTGAACAGTGTATAGAGAAGGCATATTCCTAACTGGCCCATACATGTACCTAAGAATGACCTCGTTGGCTTGGCCGTCGAGTGGCCGGTGCCCCCAATATCCCCCATCTAGTGGGATGCCATTCTTCACCCAACCAACTCATCCAACCAACATGAAACCGAGCGCCAGTCGGTGATTCTTTGGAGGATAAATCGAGAGAAACGAGAAAAAGGATATTCGAGATTAGGTGATGTGACAATTCACAGGGCCAGGAAAAGGATTTAAAAGGGCGCAAGAAGGCCTCCTACTGTCTGTTTCGTCTCGCTGCCAGAAGACATCTCAAGTTCAACATTGTGTTATCCATCTTTGAATCAATTTGCATAGACTTTGCAGCAGTAATGTTGCTCTACACTGTTAACTCTGTGGCTTGGCTGCTAGTTGTCGGCAATGCTGCACTCAGAAACGACCATCACAGTAATGTCATTCGACAAGTTGCGGCAAATGAGGCTGTAACTTGCCAGTTCTTGCACCAGAAAGAGCTGGGACTCTGCGGTCCATCAACCGGCGTCCCGACTCACATCACTACAACGGTAATGCTCTCCGAAGGCGGTGTCTGATTCTATTGTTCTGCTGCACGCTCAGGAGCTGACGAGGTTTAGCCCAACGCTGGAGAGACCGGCCCGCCCTCCACCCCGGTGGAAACCACTGCCGCCTGGGATAGTTCTGTTGTTGCGCAACCAGCCTTGACGACAAGTACCACAGTCCATGACGGTGTCACCAAAGAAGTCGTCATTATCAATGGAGGGCCTCTCACGTCTCCTATAACCCTCCCGGCCTCATTGCCCACCAAGCTTGATCCTTCTGCTCCAGAGGTTAGGTCGAGCGTATCTTCTATCTCATCAGATGTCTCAATCGCTCTATCGACTGTCACCGCCTGGATCACTCAACCAGAGCAACCGCGGGCATCGGAAGCCATCAAAGCTGTCCAGCCTCTCGTCTCGATTGTTGGCGGCCTTACCAATAATATTCCAGGAGGAGTCATCGAAACAACCTGCACAGCTATGTCCTCGGAGGAGAGCGGCCTGGCGCAGAACTTAAGCTTCCTTATGTGCAGGCTGCTTGACATTCTCCGCGGTCTTGGCACAGGTCTCGTCGCAACTGACCCGTCACAAATCGACTCTGCCACCATAGTAGTTCGATCTGGTTCGGAAGAAGTGGCAGCAGATATCTCAAGCGCGGCAGCTAATGTTGGGGCTGGTGGAGCTCCGCTATCGACAACACCAACGGGAGTGCCACACACAGCTGCAACTCCCACTGTGTCGACCCCGATTCACAGCAGCACCGGACTCGAAACCCCTCTCACGACAGATACGGCACCAACCCTCACCAAGATTCCAGAGCTTGCAGTGTTCCAAACCCTCGCCGATGTGACTTACACAACACCGACGTACATCACAACAACATCGCCCGGAAGTGATCAACCCACGATAGTTCCAGGTACGTAACCAATGGTCAGTCAAAGTCAAAACCAACATTAGCTGATTCCTGTCAATAGTGATTATTCCCTTCTCCGGCCCGCCCCGGATATGTTTTGGCTGCTACTTGTCATTCCCTCCAAACATCGCCATCAGCGTGCCGGAGTTCTGCATCCAGCTCTTCGGCTTGAACATTGGCAGTTGTCCTCCGTCCTCAGATACTGACGGAAAAGACGGGGACAACAATGAGGATCAGAAATCAGACTCGCAGTCCTCCACTACATCCACTTCTTCGTCATGTACCACCACTATTACTGCGACACACGAGAGCGTATTCTGCTCTGTGACGAAAGGTCAGTGGCTTGCTCCTGAGTACATCCAATGATCAATCTCACTGATGGTGATAGCAGAATCGCCAACGGATGGTAGCCCAACAAAGACTCTCGGGTGCTCAACAGCCGCGTTTACCACAGTCACTGGCTGTTCCGGCCAAAACTCAGCAACCACCTCCACGTCGGAGCTGAGCACCCCGACAGAGTGGTTGTGTAACCCGTCAACCTGCGGTGACGCGGTTTGCGCGGCATCGAAGAAGAGAAGTCGTGAGCTAGCGCCTCGTGAACTCCAAGAGCGCGGCGACCCTGAGCAAGGCGTCTGGCCCGACCCGAGTGATTATGAAGGTAATCAAGACGCATTCATGGCTGGGGAGACCTGGGAGATTGTCCAAATGCAACCCCCTTACGACGCCAAGGAGGTTAAACTTACTACTTTTAAGCACGGTGACCACGTGACTAGTCACAACTGGGTCTCTTTCGATGACAAAGTAGCAGCCCTGTCTGTCCATGGGCTTTACGGTTGCACTTCTGTTGTGGTATTGTCTCAGAGAGGTGCGTGGGCGAGCCATATCTGGGAGAAGGCTTTCACCAGCCACATCGAGAATGACTTCACCCTCAGAGCCATCAGGGATCTCCATTCAGGAGTCGGAAGCACAAACATATTGACCGAATATAGAGAGTGGGGAATGGATGACCTCAAAGACAAACCGGATGCCGGGAACCGCGGTATCATCTTCGGCGACGGCACGCCGGCCGACAGCAATTTGCCGATTCAGGTTTTCATCTTCACACCACGCGAACGTCCTACGCAGTCTACGCCGGATGAAGCCCGCCTAGATCCCAACTACAATGCAGGAGGGATTTTGTACGGCCCAAGGATTGCGCAGATACACGACGACTTGTACAAAACTTTCTCGACAACCTCGACGCAAGTGAGAGTAGACGTCATTGACTATGCCCCCAAAACTCGAGGTACACCTCAACAGTTGCTCGACGTAGAAATCACGGAATCACGCGGTAAATTGCTCATTCAGTACCAACCAGCTCCCGACTGCACTGGCAAGGCCAGCTGGCGAATGTGGGTCGAAGGAAGACCGCTGGAAGGGCGCACTGCCAGCTGGGATCCTGCGAGCAACCAAATCTTTCAAGGCCAAGCTGCTGGCGGAGCTGCAGCCAAGCGACAGGCCTGCCCGATCCGATCAGCGACTCCCGGTGGTACTTCGTCGGAGCCCTCTCAACAGACGAGCCTGCCTGCTTCTGTTCCGACGACTGTTCCGACGACAACTAGACCTATGGAAACTCTTACTTCGTCGCCGGAGCCCGCGAAGACCACATCGTCACCGGCTGTCAAGGAAAGCACGACGGCTCCGCCTCCACCGAAGTCGACAACGTCAAACAAGCCTCCGCCGCCGAAGCCCACCGAGCAGGTTTTGATCGAATTTGCATTGGAAAAGGCTACCCCGTCCGAACCGGGCCAAGTTCCTAACTCGAGAGGCTCCTGGGTCATGTTCCTGAAGAAAGCGGACGACGCAAGCCGCAAAGAGTGCGACGACAAGAGGATTGGCCTGAAGGCCATTGACACAGTACTTCCGCTTTTGGAAGATTCGGGCGACACAAAAACCTCCGACAACTTATCGTGGCCTCCTACTTTTGAGGCTGATTCCGGGGTGGAAGTTTCTGGCCGAAAGCAGTGTAGGTATAACGAGAAGAAGGACGGTGCGGGAACTTTCGTCTGCGATGGGATTGGTTCGTTTGACTGTATCAAGGATGAGCAGTCTAACGGTCCGAAGACTTGTGGCGGGTTGCCTCAGCTTGTCTACTATCCCAAAGTCAGATGCTTGTTGCCGGTTGCTTAGGTGCTGATGAAGGAAGTTGCGTAGGTGACCTGAGAAAGGGTTGATTTGGGGTTGGACTTTGGAAGGTGGATCTTGGTTTTGATTTTTGATTTATGGATTTCCTTTCCGGTTGTAACGTCTGGAGCGACAGCAAACTGTCTCTTCGTGCCTTGTATCTTGATAGTTGTGTATCAATGTTATTGTCTCGATGCTGCTAGACTGGAAATTCTGATATGGTGGTGATTTATTCGCAATCTCGTTTTGATAGTCTTTGTTAGACACCTGATATCATTTTTACCCACTCTTTAGATGAGTGAGATTGCAAGCTGATGTCTAAGGTACTTATGAGCCACAACACTAGCGCTGACCAAAGTTCGACGACATCTCCTTAATAATGTTTGAACTCATGACGAATGGTCGTTAGTAAGAAGCCTTTAATTTCTGTGAGTAACAGTAGAGAACTTCTCATCCTGTGGTTGCTCGTCAAGAGTCTGGGTCCGTGTCTTGACACTTCATTTCCTCCACTATGTCTTTACAATCTATGCCCCGCAACTAACGCCTAGTAGCTGTGTAAAAACATGCTTGCGGCTCGATGGAGATCGATACTCTCAAGTCTCGAGATCTTGGGGTTGCTGTCGTCTCTACAGGGATCCTCAGCCCTACTCGGAGGGTCCAGACCGCTGCCATTCCAGACGGGACGCACGGATGCGGATACTATTTCCACCGTAACGGCGGAAGTCTACTTATCCAGTCTGTCCCGCTCGGGGAAACCTCGCCTGCATCGGCTTGGTAGGTGGACATTTTAATGCACCTGCAAGGGTGCCTTGGTGTCTTGGGAAGCTGTACTATGCAGTAGCCAACAGATAAGAAACTATGGCTATTGGGCGAGCCTCTCGGTTCCCATCGAGCACCGACCGCCGACTAATTTCTAAGCCAAGCCTACCATGTCGCAATCGCCGGCCCCGCGTCCCCGCGGTTTTCCTAGAGGGGTTTCCCCTCACGTGAAGAAATCCATCACGACATCGATTCTCCAATGGTGCAACATCTTTATCTCATAGAGCCATTGGTAATCAGTTACTCAACTTCGATAACATAAAACACTACGCTGCCTCACCATCGACCTCGTCAACAGCCAGCCAAAGCTCCAAAATCCAAGTATCGACATAGCTCATCGATTCGTAAACCTCTCCAAACACCTCACAAACGACCCCGCAATGTCCTCCGCGCCCAAGATCAAGCTGTACACCAACCACGGCTGCCCATGTATGTGAACTTCACACCACCAGTCGACTAGCAACTCCTATCATCCTCGTCACTTGGCACAAGCCCGTTATTCACATACCTGAACACCCTCGTGTGAGATGAATTAAGCATGACCCGTCCCACGAGACGGGGTGGCACACACTCAAGATCATGAACTGATTCAGTGCAACCAACCACACAGGGGCTCACCGTGCGCACATCGCTCTCATCGAGCTCGGCCTCCCGTACGAAGAGGAAATCATCGATCTCGCCGTCCCCCGCACGGAGGAGTACCTCAAAGTCAACCCCCGCGGCCTGGTTCCGTCGCTCTCATACGACGGCGAGATCATCACCGAGTCAGCCGTCGTGGCCCAGTTCCTCGCCGACGCCCACCCTTCGCACCTGCTGCCGGCATCCAACTCTAAGGACGGCGCCCTCCGTCGCGCCCGCATCAACTTCTTCGTCGATGCGTACTTCTCCAAGGCCAATCCGCTCATCTTCAAGGTGTACACGGCCAAGTCGCCCGCCGAGGTTGACGCCGTCGCCAATAGCTTCGTCGAAATTATCGCGAAGGAGGTTGAGCCTCTCCTGAAGGATGCTGCGCCCTACTTTGGTGGCAGCGACAAGCCTACTCTGGCTGAGGTGAGTTTTACAGATCTGCAGCTCGGGGCTACTTTTGCCGACAGCACGCTCCCTGAGGCGGGAACTCTCTGGTCACATGAGAGATGCTAATGTACCGATACAGGCTTTGACTGGATCGTTCACCCTAAGACTCTTCGCATTCTCCCAGCATGAGCTGCTCCCGCCGAGCCTCCTTACATCCTTGGAGAAGAGGACCCCTAACTTTTACAAATGGGCACAGACCGTGAACAAGACTCCCAGTGTTACTCACATCTGGGATGAGGAGACGGTCATTGAGAAGACGAAGTTCAGGATTGCCAAGCTACGAGGGGCTAGCAATGGTAACTAGAGTTCCGCGATGTATTCGTATTTCAGAAGGAACTTCAAGCTCATTGGAGCCGGGAAGTCTAAGCCATCTAATGTCATCAAGGTTCTAAATTACTTTCGTTCATCACCCGACTTTGAGTTGATAACACGAGTTTTTATGCCCGAATAATCGCTGCTAGTCTTTGACGCAGTATGGTTGGTTGAATCTTCAACATGGAGGATGGGAGGGAATTTCGTATAAGTGGCTGTCGCGCGAAAAGAAGGGGTCGATCACACCTTGTTCAGATCCCCATGACCGAGTTGCCATCAAGTTGGCTGCGTCTTGTCGGGGAACATCCTGAACATTTATAGTCCGTGCCCCTGAAGCCTTGGCCAACGGTTGGAGATATTCTGCTCGATGGTTTTACCGTGCGGCATGGAGGGCGGGAAATTCACCCGTCAAGTCATGTCATCGTGAGTCTCGACTGATTCTCGACTCTTTCGGCGAATAAGCCTCTCTTTGCATTGATCATACTCTTGTTCTGCCTTTTGCGACATACGACTTTTGACAGGACCGAAAAAGACTTGATTCACCGTTGCATCGTAAAAACTGAGATCCCGCGCACGAACTCAGCTCTCAGAGATCGCACAAGAATTCAGAGTTCATATGCAGAAATAAGGCGATGTGAGAATTGATGCTGTCGCATATTCACACCGGAGGCAGCCACGTCCGTCGGAAATGCTCACGAAAAGGGAACTGTTCCTCCGAGGACTTTCATCGGCCCAGCATGTGCGGTGCTGAAGCCTCCGCAGCTTGCATGGAGCATCGTCTCGGAGTTGAAGAAATTCTGCCCCCACATCACCGAAAGCCACGAACTATGAGATCTGTGATCGTCGGGTTGAGTGGGCTTGGCTTCCAGAAGGTTAGGAGAACGGGATGAAGACCGGGTTCTGCTAGGAGTCTTGAAGTTTGCTCAGGATACCATTGCGTAAGTTGAGTTCATCGGGATGTTTGTGCCCAGGTGATGAGGAAGGAGAGTGTCTTGGCAAGTTTGTGAAGCGGAGGCCATACAGAAGGCTTGAGCAGGAGGTGAGCCGGGCTTGTCATCGACCCCTTTGCCCGATTAGCAGGGCGAATAGGAAGTGAGTGCATGCGGACATTGACAGCGCGGTTTCGAGTAGGGAAGAAGAATATCAGTCCAATGCCGTTGGGATGCGTCAGTTTCGTCGCTCGTCAGAAACGGCTCCTGAGAGGATAGTTGGCTGTCGAGAACAGACAAGAGCTAGAAGAAGAATGCGGGAAGATGGCGGAGTCTAAATAGAGTTTCTGCTTGAGCCACAGACTAAACGACCCCGCTTACATACTGCCTGCAGCACTAACTCGTGTGCGTAGACGCTTGTGTGGTCGGCAGTTAGTACGAGGTGTGCTTGGCAGCCCTTCTCGAAGCCGGTCTCGAAACACCAAGTGTGAAACATCACAGCGTTCACCCCGGAGCTGCATCCGGATGGAGACTAGGATCGCGAGCGGGGAAGCTGGGCCGGGACCAACATACCTGACGCTGTACCAACCATAACCACAGACAATACGCACAATATGTCCAGCTATGCACCAGGTTGTAAGTATTCATGAAGATGACGGGCACGCACGGTTCGCTTGGATAACTCGTCTCCTGATCGGCTCAGTGGGAGATGGGAGAGCTCAGGTTCCCGTGAAACATGACAACCGACACCATGGTTGCTGCATGCACGCTAGAATCGCACGTCCGAACTCTAAACTCCCCTATTGGCGATGTACCGGCATCCAAGCCGAGCGTTGGCTACCTATCTTGCGGTGGCGAGGCAACTATCATGCGGCGATGCTCAACGGTAGTCATTCGTATGGTAACTTGGTGTAGAGGCACGAATCACATACACACCATCTCGACAATGTGCGCACAGAGACACACTAGCGCACACGCATCTTTCGTGCTCACATCACCCACACACATCTACCGCTTCTCGAGTTTCCATCCCATCTCATCCCATAACTTCCACACCCCCAAAACCTGGATGAATACGTTTGCTGAAGGTGTAGAGGAGAGCAGAGTGAGAGAGAGAGGAGCTTTGTCCTTCCCTGTCGGTGTCCCCTTCCGTTAGTGCCCACCAGTATGCAGCCCATCTGGCATCTGAAGCAAGACCAGTTATCCTTGACGTGTCAAGGCTCGAAGGCGAACGGGTGTCCGGGGGAAGGGTTGATAACGACTTACCCTCCCCACTCATGATGCATTCTTAGGTCTCTGCTCGTCAACATCCTTAATTCAATCTACGGCGTTAGGTTTCGATCCTTTCCAACTTCCGGGGAAATAAGTTACATGCCGCCCGGAGCGGCGACTTGGCGACATTAGCTCCCCTGCCCGCACGAACTTCGAGCACGCAGCCAAGGGGGCCCACTCTCTTTGGACTCTTTGGTTACATGGAGTGGTGAGCGAGTGGCGATAGCAGATCAATACCGGTCGATATGCGGCTCTCCACATCGTCGACGGCCTGTAATGGCCTGGGATGGATATTGTTTGCGCTTTCGATGTTGGGTATCGTCGGGGCGAACGGACAAGGCTTTCATATTGTTGAGCACCGGCTGGTGTCGCGACAGCTACCAGATCTGAGTAATATCTCAACATGCGGCGTGAGTATTTCTCGAACGAATATGCGATACCACTACTAACATTCCGTCGAGTTGAACTGTCTGGTTCAGTCCATCACCGGCTCGGGCTGTGACCTGACGAATACGACTTGTTCATGTGCTAGTTCGCAGCTTGGCCAGCTCGCCGCGAGCTGCTTGATCGCGAATTGCACTATGCAGGACTCATTAGGTATGATGATGATGCTCAGTGTCGAGGGGTCTTACAAGCTAACAGGGTCCAGATCTGGCAAAGCTTCAAGCCAGGCAATGTAACTTGCCGCACGAATCCCAGACCACGAAGATGCTGGCCATTCTGGTCACAGTCTACGTTACCGCACTCATTGCCATCGGCCTACGACTTATCGCAAAGAGTTTTGCAAAGATATGGAGCACAGATGATGCTTTGATTGTCGCTGCCATTGTAAGTCGAAACAGGGCTAACGAGCTTGAGAATCACGAGCTGACGAAAATATCAGGTAATTGCAATTGCGCCGTTCTCTCTTGTGATCATAAGTAAGTTCCCCGGTTGGAATTTATATACTTAGGCGCTGACAGTGTCCAGTGGCTACGATGGGATTCGGGACACATCTTTACGACCTGCAGTCCGGACAACTGACGAAAATATTGCAATTGTTATATGCCGCCGAGATCGTTTACGTCTTCGTGCTTCTGTTCGCGAAACTATCTCTGGTCACGTTCTACCTCCGCATATTTACGGTACCCAGGTTTCGGATGGCGGCCTACTCTTTGATTGCATTCCTTGTGCTCGGACAGGTCATTATCGGATTTCTGACCATCTTCTCGTGCCATCCGATTGAACTCTTTTGGAACAAAGACATTCACACCGGTGGCTGTCTCGACATTAACCAACTGGCGTATGCCAACTCAGCTCTCGCCATTCTTCAGGACCTCATCATACTCGCCCTGCCGATAGCAATGCTGCCGGGCTTGCAAATGAACAAGAACAAGAAAATCTCCGTCGCTGTGATCTTCCTTCTCGGCTCTGTCGGCTTCATATCGACCATCATCCGTCTCCAAGTTCTCGCGGTATTCGGTAACTCGATCGACCCGACGTGGGACTACGTTCCGGTGGTTTGGTGGACAACTATCGAGCTTGGTGTCGTCATCGTCTGCGCGTGCCTGCCCATGATCCGCAACCTCGTGGAGAAGTGGTTTCCCAACTTCAAGCTCTTCAAGTGGTCCTCGCCAAAGCCGTCGAAAGACAGCGTGGGATCCTCTTCGGTCGGGACCGACGACAAATCATACAAGATGGGGCGATATCAAAAGTTTGGCAGGAGCACCAGCCCGCCGCAGTTCAGCGACAACTACGTGCGTGATCACATCGGGGGGCCCCCATCAAAGACCGACGAAATTTCTCCGACAAAATATCGAGATATGTACGCTTACGGCGGATCTAAGCCTAAGGTTTTGGAGGACCCCATGTCACCACCTCAACCATACGATCTATCATGGAGGTCGACGAACCCCTACGGAATATCTGGCGAAAATCCGTACGCCGTTGGAAAGACGAATTACAGACTCAATATTGAAATGTTGGAAAGAAAAGACAGGAATTTTGATGAGGAGCTTCCTGACATTCCTGAGCATCCTGAACAAACTGAGGTGGAGTACTACGGTCAAGCAATTACGACGGGGGAGCACCCACAACCATCGCGATGTTCTCATTGCGGGAGATCACGCTGCGGCGACATATGATCCTTGTAAAACAGTCTCATTGTACTATCATAGATACCAAATGTGTTTGAGTTTATCTGCATAGCTTACAAGTCCATTTCAGACTATGTGCTGCTCGTTTGAGGCAATGCCGCCCCGTCGGAGGTTTGTCAAGGAACCGGCGCCGGGCCCCGCCTTCGCGCCGAGAGCAGTCCGGGGCGCTCCGGGGTCAACCCGGTTCTTGATCGGCTCTTGAATCCTAATGCAGCTTTGCACTCGGCCATCGCACCGACAACTTCTCCTATCTGATCTTCGGAGAGAAGGATAGATAGCCTCGTTTACCGTCCCACTCTCATGACGCTTATCTCAAAGATTGCAAGGTTCTTATCACATGCGGGGATCCAAATGCAACGTAGACACCGACATTCCATGACGCTTCAGCTGCAGCCATGAACGCCTCATTCAATCTCCACCAATTCTCACCAGAATTCTTGTCCAACACTCCTAGGAGATACAAATACCGCCGAATGCTGCGTCCTCCGTGAACCACCATCACCACCAGCTTTGACAGCGGAAAGATGCACCAGCATTGACCCGAGTTTCGCCACTCCCGCCCGTGGTACAACCGCTATCCCCAAACAGGTCACCTCCGAAGCCGCATTTGGCTGTTTCCTGAGCTTCGCGTCGCAGCTTCCCGCCTCACAGGACCACGTGAAACATGCGCCTTCTCTCCACAAGGCTCAGGCTGTTGCTGCTGCTGCTGTCGTCGGTAGGGCGATGCTGCGAACAGCAGCAGAAGCACACCTGCAGCACCTGCGGCAACTCGAAGCCGCAGGTCCCTATGCCCGCCGCCCTCCCGCAGTGTCTTCCCCAGGAGTGGACAACGTGGACGACGGACGATGGGGTTGATGCCTCGACCCGCGCGTACTGGATGCGGCAGGCAAACCTCGCATTGCCGAACCCCTGCCCGTTCGCGGCCTTTGGGGCTGTTGTTGTGAACCACACGGCCGGTGGCCTGGGGGAGCTGGTCTGTACTGGCGCGAACAACAACCAGGGCTCAGGCAACCCGACGCTTCATGGTATGCAGAGCAACATGTTATTGCAACTGCCGTGAGAGAACAATGCTGACTAGTAGCAGGCGAGATGGTAGCGATCAACAACTGTTCGGCCATCTTCACGGATCCTCAGGGACGTTACAACATGACGCCCGCAGATGCTCTTCTCGCGTTCGGTGATCTGACGCTCTACACCAACGCCGAGAGCTGCCCCATGTGTGCGTCGGCAATCCGCTGGGCTGGGTTCAAGGAGTACGTGTATGGTACCAGCATCGATGCCCTCGTCGACATGGGCTGGGGTCAGATCACTGTCTCTTCAAAAGAGATCTTCAACCAGTCTTCCAGCCTCTCCAGTGAGACCGGCTTCCTTGGTGGTGTCTTGACGAATGAGACGGACGGGTTCTTCAGCTGGCAGTTCCGTCCAAACGCGACTTGCCCGCAGGGCTGCTCTCGGGCGGCGAGCGGCCGTTGTGCGCCTGCATGAGGATGCGGAGCCGGTGCCGCGTGTTCAACCCCGCCTTGTGAGGCAGGAATAAGGTAGACAAGACAACAGTTTACTTGGCATCGGAGATGATTCTGTTTTCGACATCGTGAAATTCCCCCAGACTCTGATTTAAGCTCTCGGCAACACCAGCTGATGCGTTTGTAAAGCATCTTCACCGCAGAGCTATGCCGCATCTGCGACAAAGTCAAAAGCAAGGCCAAAAAGAGAATGACTGAATGATCCCAACCTGATTTGAACAGATAACCTGAGCGCTGTCAGCAACCTATCACCATGATGAGGGTGTCATGAGGGGATCGAAACCCCGGGGTGTAACTTACCTTTCGATCTGGAGTCGAACGCGCTACCGTTGCGCCATAGGACCGTTGAAGGGCGAGAGGGTATCGTGGATTGTGAGCGGGCAATGCTCGTGGGTCATTCTCGTGATCAGGGCGAGCCCCGCATGCAAGAGGGTCTGCAGGCTCGTCTAGACTTAGCGTGTTGATGTGACGGATCTCAAAGTCGAAGTTTCTTTTGCGTTCTTCAGTTTATCAGCGGGTCTCTGCAACAACTAGACATCCCATACGGCAAGGACTAAGGGATGAACAAGACTGGCGCAGGAGAGCCTGTGGAACATTTTGCTCTGTTTCATATATCCTATAACACTGAGCTGAGACGAGAATGAATTGAGTGAGCATAGCGGTTGATTCAGCATGAAATCTTCTAGGTGGTTTGATCGCAGAAAATAGAATCTAAGATAATGAATTACAGATTCTCAGGTACCGTGAGAGGTCATTGTTACCTATGCAAGTGCTTTTCCGTTCTTCTAGATATTCATTAAGATATAGACAAACAAAGACTCCTTTCTCAAACTCAGTGAGACATATAAATGTCGCTTCTCACTAATAGGCAGAAGAATAATAATAGCATGCTAATTCACTGATCAGGCAACAGAACGTAAACGCATCCTATCAATTACGTTCTATTGTTACTACTATCTATATCATAAAGATTTCTTGAGAAAAAAAAAGAAGAGTTACTACATACAACTGCTTGCTTGCTTGACGTTCAAAAATGTCAGGAGGGCTCAATCGGGGATCGAACCCGAGACCTCGCCCATTCACGCTGTGCGCAAGGGCTGTGAAGAACACAAGCACCCGAAGGGCGAATCATACCACTAGACCATTGAGCCGACGTCGGCTTACAATCCCTGAGGGACCGAATGCGCGGTGGATGGCTGTGGCGCAAAAATTGGGCACTATGTTAGACGGGCTGCTGACAAGCTTATGCGTCTGCTATCAGGTCGCGCTGGTAGACTCAATCGCGCTCTTTCAACATTGCCGAAGACTGGATCGCAAGAGCTGCAAAACGCTGTTAAAGAAAGTCTGTTTACTCGGAACAGAGTTCTGTTAGAGCCTGCCAAGATTGGTCCTTGGGGTAGGATGCAAGGTCAACTCTGGTGGTAGTGCGGAGATAGCTTCGGACACTCGCCACCAACAGGAAACCTGTTCGTATGAATCCCAATCAGACAACAAGAAACCTCAACTCACCGCTAGAAAATCTTGCGTGGCCTTGGCCAAACGACGGTTCTGTCAGTGCCTAACCGAATTACTGATTTCTTCCCCCTTGCCGCGTATCTCTAACCATCTCTAACCGAGCCAGAGTTGATGCCTTTCTGGACTGGACCTGGCAGTGGGACGCGTGCCGGGCTTGTGCACGCGGTCACTTTCCCCATCGTTTCCACATCGCCAAAATAACCTATGGACCAAGCTCTAGACTCACCAGCCTGCTGGTACCGTTGACACAGTGACACCGAGGGAATTGGGATAGTCCGGAGTCCGGATACGTAGTCGATTCGATGAGCCGATCAACGAGATTGGGTTGCGCGGAATGCGATTCCTGGTGTTCATTGCCGTATTCGAACAGAGTTTAGTTGCGAGCTCAGGAAAACTCGACCGAAGCGTCCGAATTGGCCGATGGATTCGGCGACAATGGAGCGAGGGGATCAACGCCCACGTGCTCACTTTTCCTCACCCTCAGCTGCCAGAATTGATTGACTTCATCTCACTGAAAACGTAATCATCTCGCACCCATTCGCTAGGGGCGGTCCTGGAACTATCCGACCCCCGTGGGAAAGCTGGAACCACATCCGGGACCCCTGTTTTGGCAACGGTCGAAGCGCTTAGACGACATTTTAGCGGTGGCAAATTGGGCAGACTGGCGACTGGCGCCTAGCGCAATCAACTCAACCAACTTTCATGTCGACACGGTGGATTTCCTTCGAGAAAACTCGCGGAAAACAGATCAGATCCGGCTGTGCGCCGACCATGGAAACGGATCAACATCCTCCCACTTGCCTTCGAAGCTAGGGGTTCCCGAGAGCGAGGAAACCCTTATCCCTGCCTCGCGACATGGGACGTTCAGACTTGGACAAGGAAGACAAAACTCGGTCCGTGATAGGAAACCTGCGTTGCCAGATGGACAGTTCATATCAAGCCGTAAACAACTCTCTTACTGCCAGAGCTGTATAGCCCTATGAACATTTATCACCTGGGGTTCTGTCAACATACCTGAGACAGAATTTATTAACAGCTCCAGCGGACATCGCTGCTGATCGCGGCATTTGCGAGGGCATTATGCAGATCTTGTCAGGGTTGCCCAAGCCTCTGGCTCGGCGAGAGCGATTCGTTGCAGCCGCCAGCAAGCGGCAGAACTCGCCTTACAACGCCTCGCCAGGCACTCGTGGCTTGTATAAAAATGCTTGTAATACGACCCTAATCTTACCCTGACGCCCGGACGCCAAGAACATGGAACTGCATGCAGTTGTGGTGCCTGAACAAGGTTCATGACTAGTGTACGGTCCAACGACAGGAACCACTGCACAACAGCTTTTCTTCGTCTGAATAACATGAATAAGTCCAATATAGAGTAAATTGAAATGTTTCTATAGAAGTTCATCTGATATAGTTCATTTGACTTTTTCGAAATGTCTGCCCAAGCCGTTCTTCCTATTTGGTCGTCAACGACGATAGCCCCCAACGGAGTGTGTTCCGAGCGCACTCGCAACGGCCCCAGGCGCAACTGAAGCGGGGATAGAGTTACAGATGTGGAAAGTCGTGAGCCCCTTCTAATAACATGGGAGTTTCTCGGTGGGTTTCGTCTCCCCCTTCCGGCTAGGTAACCTGGCGCGACATGCAAGGAGTCGACATCTTGATATTGCACCCCGTCTGGGGTGGTGGGCAGACAAGAGCAGTCAAAAGGGGGCGCCCTGCCGTCAAAAGACAGACCCCAATGTATTATGTGTTTGGCCGGATGCCCGTCATGCCTCACAACAGTTGCATCTTGCCTCGTACTCGCGTTTTCTCGTGATGTTGTTGCCCTCAACGCCCTGGGCGGCGCTCCTGCTGGCCAGCGTCTTTTCTCCCGCCGTGAAGGCGGACGACTGCTCAGTCGACCCGTTAGTATTACCCATAAAAGTAAGGAAAAAACATCTCACGAGTCATTCGCTCACTTTTTACGGCTCGTCTGTTTCTCTTCTTTTGGTGTTTTGGTGGGTTTGTTGTGTGATCGTGGAGTACTGACTTGGCCCCCCGCAGAACGTTACCTTTCCGAATGGCATCGGTGCCAACCGCGGCGTCAAGCTCACGCTTGGTGGCCAGGTGCAAGGCATGCGCATGTCAACTATTCTTAACAATACGCGAGTGAGGAATATTCTCGATTGCCCGAACGAGGACACCTTGGCGTTCGTCGGCTGCCAAGGCGCATCTGGCAGCGTCTATGATACATCAAAAGACACCTTCACTCAAGTCTACAACATCAAGGACTGGAATGTCTCGTAGGTGGCTCATTCCTACGCAGTGCATCATTATTTGCTGACCTTTTTCATAGAGTAGTTGATGCACAACCCGCTGACGGCGTCACAACGGTTCTCCATGGATACGACACCGCCAACTTTACGGATGGCCCGGCAGTGGTCTACGGCTACCCTTTCGAGATCTGGGCGGACTACGACTCCATGAACAAGAGTGCTTTGGCTCTTGGTCCCGAATCTTCCACGATTGACCTGCTTGTCGACCACAAAATCGCACCGACTTCGGCATGGAGTTTGGATTACGGATCGACCTCTGAGCTCTACCCCCGTGATGGCCAGCTCATTTTCGGCGGCGTCAATGAAGCGCGTTTCAACGAGACGAAGAAGACCGAGTTCACCATGTGGGGAGCGGGTGCGCCTGTGCCATGTCCTCTGCAGGTTCTCATTTCCGATATCGTCCTGACGAACGAAGACGGCGATCACTCGCTCTTCAGCGACGTCGGCACGCGAGTTTCCGCCTGTATCGACACGGTCCAGAACGACTTCACTTTCACCCCGAATATGTTCTCACGATTCCAAAACTTCACCAACCATACCACAACATTCAACGGCACCACATATAGCCAGTCGACATACCCCTCCAGCCTCGAGTCCATGATCGGAACCCTCACAATCAAACTCACAAATGGTTATACCACAGTCATTCCTCACTACGAGTTGGTCTCCCACGAGCGTGGAACCGACTCTCGTGGTAGATATGCCGTTACGAACAACACCCACATTCAGGCCACCGTCGGTTCAGGCCTGAGCGATTTGGGCAACAATGTCCCTATTCTCGGAGGTGTTTTCCTCTCCCAGAACTACCTGCATGTCGACTACGCCGCGGGCAAGTTCTGGCTGAGCCCTCAAGTCGCAAATGGCACATTGGCAGACAACATCACATCAACTTGCAACGGCACGAGTAGCGGTACCAGTGGAGGAACTGCAATGGGTGTCAAAGTCGGTGTCCCAGTAGCCATTGGCGCTGCCTTGATATTCTTCGTCGCGCTCTGGTTCTGGTTGAAGAATCGCAAGCGGAACCCCAATGCCGGGGTTGCCGGAACGAGGGCCATTCCTCGATCAGAAAAGCGGGACGCCCCAGACTCTAAGTCATCGACAACCCGGTTTGCTGGATACCAAAACTACCACGCCGTAAATCCAGATAATCACATGGAGCTCGAGGGCGACATGGGCGCAAGGCGAGCAGAGCTAGAAGAGCCCGCTCCTGCATATTCAAGAGCGTCGGAGTGGCCCCGCATGAACTCAATTCAAGGAGAGAATATGACATATTACTCCCAATCACCAGAGGAAGGCGAGAGTTACGAGCTGGCGGATACTTCGCCGATGCCACCACAACCGCCGGTGTTGGCAAATCGGCCGCCCGCGAAGAGGCAAGACACTGCCGTGTCGGCCATGAGCGACCGTGACACTTTTACACAGAGTCCGACTGCGTTACGAAAGCAGATATCTAATATCGACGACATGGTGTCGCCAACTAGTACACGGGCAAACAGCACGAGACGTCCTTTTTAGCGTATTGGATAGACGATTAATGATAATTCACTTCTTGAGGCAACAAATTTGGTTCCGATGACACTCGCGCTGTGAATGGTACATAAAATGATGGGGCTATTGCCTGATCAAGTCGGTACTAATTGTAAGGACTATGATGATCCTCCAAAAATGGATGTCCAAAATGCGCTGTTCTCATGAACATGCTAATCTAATAATACATATCGAACATGCCGCGCTGCTGCAAAGCCGACATGACTGCAACCCAGATAATAATGCCCAGTACAAACCCCCATAGTGACAACATAGCCATGCTCTTCGACGAACGTCCAATGACCATTGCGAAAAACATAGAGGCCGAAAGGATCATGATCCACAAGAACACACCGCCTTTGTAGGTTATAAGAAGAGAGCCAATTGCAGTCAATAAGCACCAAGTCGTTGTCCACCATCTCCAGTTCTTGATCCAGCCCCAGAGGCCTCCCCACACGCCATACATGGCCGGTGATCCTGCCTTTTCGAGTTCGATAGTTCCGCCTCTGAGACGCTTCTTGATCTCTTCAGAGAGCTGATCGTGGGTGAGGTCGTCGGGATTGCTTTCCTGCAATTCTTTCCTGATAGCTGCGGCAAGCTCCAGAACCCCCTTGAAGCCCTTTGGCTTGTCGAATCGACTACGCATTCTCATGGTCATATGAGATTTGACCCACATCGCTGACATTCCAAGGGTCCATAGAATCAACAGCAGTAGCATGATGAAGAGTTGGATATACGAGAATCCCCACTGATACGTTTCCCGAGCCGAGGCGTTGATTTTGTCTATTTCCGTCACAGGCTGGCACGTGCCGTTTGATTTGATGTAGTTGAGGTCGTACGTCTCGTTCCCCATGTTGTAGGTGTATGTGACCTTGCTTCTATCGCTAAATGGCTGTGTCTTTGTTCTTGGGTCTGTCCAATTATTGCCAAAGATTGTTCTGTACCTCTCCGGAAGGTAGAATGCTGAAATATTCAATGTCGGGGATGACAGAGTCTGATTCATGAAGGTCGAATTGTTGTTTCTAAGTCCAAAGAAACCGTGCTCCTTTGTATCTATACAGCCACGTCAGCATTGTTTCTATAACATAGATCGCTGCGTCGGTCTCACAGTTGGAAATGCTTCCATGCAAAGAGCATCGGCAGTTGAGTGGGTAACGCTCCTGCCACTGCTTATTGCGTTCTTCGTTGCTGTATTCCTGATCCTCCTCGCAGTTGGATGAGCCGTAATAACTCCAACTGTACCACGAATTGGGATAGTATCCGTCCAAAGTATTGCCTAGTAGTTGTTCCGCTTCAAGCTGTTAGTTATGCTGCTTGATAAGAACAAGTCCAAAGCTCAGAATTGGAATGCTTACTGTCGTAGTTGCTTCTCGCAAATGTGACTGGATAATCTTTGGTTAGATTGACCCGGTCACCATCGTGTATGATGTAGGCAATTATGTCGAAATCCGAAAACTTGAGCATTTCTCCGTCGGCTCCCCTAATGAAAGCACCGCTGTTTGCCTGATATCCGGACATCGCGCTACCAAGCGTAGGGAATAAGAGGATGAAAATTGCAACAACGACCATGAATACCATAGCGAATCGTGAACGTAGCCCGTGAGAGCGACTGAAGTCTAGCATTAAGTACCAAGTAGACCAGAAAGTCGGTGACCCGTCTAGGAACACAGTCCAAAACGTCTCGTACGTAACCGGGCTGACTTCCATCGATGTTGTGACATAATCGGAGAAGATGCTCCAAGAGATCCAGGCTAGAAGAGCCTGTCCTCCTCGGCCAAAAACCTGTGAGCTGTCAGATGCTTGCAGGCTAAGCTGGGGAGGCAACAGTTTTACCACGTCCCACGCGACATCAACAAATTTGGCATTTGCGAAAGTCATAGTTCCCCATGCCATTGTGATCTGGAAGAAGCCAGAAGCAGCCCACCAGTCATACTCGTTCATGAAAATATTGAAGCTTCCATCGGGCTGACATGCGGTGTTGTCTGAGTCCGTAATGGTCTGGGGCTGCTGGATGACGACACTCATTAGAACCCCCAGGCCAGCAATCCAACCAAGGAGGAACAACCAGCTGATCGCGATAACCCAATTGAAGTCTATTAAGTCCTGCACTGCGGCGATGACAGCCTCCTTCCAAGCTCGTTTGTTCCATAGCTTCGACCCCAGGTCGGCGCATCGGCGTTTGGATCGCGCGGTCTTCTTGCCAAGTGAGGAGCTGTCGTCGATGAGAAGCGGGGCAAAGGATTTCGTGGAGAGAACAGCACTGAAGCCGGTGGACGTTTTTGAATCAGAATCCATCTTTGACAACCCTAGTGGGATTGAGTGGTCTCAATTCTGTTCGACACCTATGCGACGGTGCTGTCATGACATGGCTTAATTGAGCGGACTTGAATCGCCCGAGAACGGAACACTGAGTACGGAGTAAGCTGCAGAAGAGAGGGGTCATTTTCAAATCAATTGAAGCAGTGGCACAGCAAATGCGGCGTCCGCCTCTTATCACTGTCAGCGTGGAGAGTCAGGATTTTCATCGCGTTGAGTGCTGCCTAACGCAACTGACAGGGGTTCATTTACGCGCCAACTCCAACCAAGCATCATCATGAGCATCGACAGGGGCAGCTATGCTTGCCGTCATTACACAGTCGGATGCCGTTCGGAGGAACGGCGCTACTGCAAATAAGACGGCAGAGTAAGATGATAGGCATCGTTTAGCGATCATTTCAGGAATTCAAGCAGCTGTTCGGTGCTGCGCCGCGGGGCCATCTGGAATAACTGATAGCGAGGAGACTGATCGGCAACTCCACTGCCTTTCTCTTCGTCTTGCAGGTCCTAATTCCGGTCAGGCTGTCTGGTGGCGCAGGGTGACCAGCAAAACGACATTTCAGTGAGCGGCCGCCGCTGATAACTAGAGAAATTGAATACCTGCGTGTGTCTGAGTCCTTGGGCTTTTCGTAGGATCGGCCTCCCTGGCTTGGTATGGGGGATTCGGATCCTTGCACACAGCCAATTATCCTTACGGCGCTGGATAGATTCCAGCCTTATGACGTTCTCAACCCGGACTCCCGGAACTGTCTAGTGAGCAGAGGATATATGTAGATGAAGATGAAAATTGCGAAACTCGCGCGAAAGCCCTTAGGTAGGAGATGACGGTATCTCATGGACTTTTGATGGAAGGTGGATCGCCATTTGGATAAGGTACCTTCCACGAGTTAAGGCCAAGACCACATCTTAGAGGAATGAAACACAGAGCCGACAACAGAGTTTCTTACCTCCAATCACCATTTTCTTTTCTCAAAGTCCGGTAGACATTGCGGTCCAAGTAATCAGATGCAGTCCAAAGCCCCAGTGGTAGTTTAATTTTTGGAAACTTTCTTCCTCGTGGACTACGAACTCGTTTGTAGATGAACTCATATCACGTTACAGCTCTCACGGGACGGACACCAGCAGATTTTGTAAGATTCATCATAATTCGTGACTTAAATCGTAGCGAACGGTAGAAAACGAGCCCCAAGACAAAACATGTACCACGCACGAACGCCCCGCCCAAAATGGCAAACTTTACACCCTTCCCAAGCGCAGCCCACAAATCATCGCCTTCTGCTGTCGTCGTTAAGCATCAACTGGAACAACTGGAATGTCAGCCCCGGGTCGCTTCTTACGTCGCTCCTCTTCACGTCGCCTCTGCTCCTCTCGACGTCGCTGCTCTTCCCGACGCTTTGCCTCCTCTCGACGTCGTTGCTCCTCACGAGCCTTCTGCTCCCGGCGCCTCGCATCTTCTCGCCTCTTCGCATCTTCACGACGCTTCGCTTCCTCTCTGCGCCTTGCCTCTTCTCTTCGACGCTCCTCATCAGACTACACGGCAACCCGTCAGCATGCTCGAGCCACGTCTCGTGCACAACACCTCAACGCCCTCGGCGCTACATCATACCAACCTGGCTCTCTTGTTGGACAGCGCGCTTGTGGTTGTAACCATAACCATTCTGCCTCTCGCGCTCGCGCTGTCTTTCTTCCTCTCGGATCAACTGATCAGTCTTCTTCTTGTCGTACTGCCCATCGCGAATTCTCTCTTCCTCCCTCTGACGTGCGTACTCCTGATCCTTGAGCTTTCCCTCAGTGCGCTGTCTGTCATACTCAGCCTTGCGGATGCGCTCGTCATCCTTAGCACGTTGCTTTGCCGAGTCAGAGTTTTGCTTGTCGTACTGGGCCTTGCGAATGCGCTCCTCCTCACGTTGGCGGGCATACTCCTGGTCCTTCAGCTTGCCCTCAGTTCTCTGTCGGTCATACTGAGCTTTCCGAATACGTTCATCTTCACGATCGCGGTTCTTCTGCTGATCTTTGATATACTGGTCAGACTTTGACCGGCCAGAAGAAGACGACCTGCCATTGAGTCTCCGGTTGTAGTAGTAGTCTGGGTCCTTGTAACCAATCACGTAGGGATCATAGGGCTTGCCGTTAGATTGTGGTGGTGGCGTCTTGGGCTTGTAGGTAGTAGTCGTGTGCGAATCAGGGGTGTCAACGAAGCGCCCATTCTGCTTCTCCTTCTTCTTGATCTCGGCCAACTCCTTGTTCTCCTTATCCTTCTGCCGCTGGAGCGCGGCCTTCTCTGCAGCGTTCTTCTTCTTCACATCGTTCAACTCCTTGATTTCCTTGTTCTTGTCGAGTCTGGCGGCCTCCTTCGCTGACGCGGTTTTGGCGCCCTTTTGACGCGCACGGGCGTCCGCAATCTCCTTCCGTTCTTTATCTTCACTGAAATTCGTCTTTTGCTTTTGCGCCTTTTGGTCCTTTCTAATGTCGTTCAGCTCAGCCTTCTCCTTCTGCTTCTGTTTGCCGAGGCTAGTCTGAGAAGGGGGAACTTTGCTGTTGTTGTTCGGCTTAGGTTTGCTGTTGCCCTTGTTGTTGGCACGCGCGGAGAGAACGTTGCCCTCTTCTTCACCGAGGTTCTCAGCACTAAGATCGCGTGCTTCTACCTCATAATACTCCCACTCACCATCATCGGTGGTAGCGGGAGGGGCAGCAGCTGGGGGAGCCGGCTGGTTGGGGTTAACTTGACGGGCTTGGAGGCTAGGGGTCTCCTCGTCGGTCTCCTCGGCCCGAGACTGGAGCGAAGAGATGGCAGAGCTGAGAGCATCGTCCTGGCTGTCGAGGCGCTTGACGAGGGGTGCCGCCAAGCCGCCAGAGACGAGCAGGGCAAGGAGAAGAGACTTGACAGAGGGCATGATGAGTTGAGTCGTAGACAGTGGTGAAGGCTACGAAAGTGTTGAAGGCGAGAAAGTCGTAGGTAGGCCTGCCGGAAAAGCGCATGTACTGACGGGAAGGTCATGATGTCTTTAATACTCCAGTCCCTATGCTGATTCCCACTTTTGCAGCTCGCAAGAAATCCCCTTTCCACAACAAGCAGCTCTCTAATGGCACTAGTGAATAAGTCTAAAAGATGCGTGATAAGGTTAAGTTGGTGGTCTGAGACGGCCTGGACCTCAGCTCTAGGTGTCGTCGGCACATCGTCGTCTAGTGGATCTGATCTTGGTGTTGTCCTTCCCACGACCGAAAACGAGGCGGACGGCGCCGGCGATTGTACGGCATGTTGAGATGCGTTTGCCGTATCAACGGACTCCAAGATGGCCGTTGGATAGTTCAAGGGTCTGGAACGGGTAAGCTTTCTAGTCGTGCGTTCCGGCTTAGATCAGATGGAAAAGCTTGAGTCGCCCGCTTCCGTCGCGGCCCAGGAAAGCAACCGATAGCGAGCGGGCGTTCATGTCGACTGTTTCTGACAGCGACTATTCCTGCCCCTGAGTTATCCCACAGGTGCCACTCCACGACTCAGACGGTGCGCAAGGGGTCCAGCGAGGTGAGTCGGCACGCGGGGTAGGGCGCAAGTGGGCAACTTTAGACTCGGCCCCAAGCCCAACTAGCTGGAACGGGCAATCACTTGCAGAGCTTATCCTCGCGGGCCACGTACATCTCCCGCTGCGGGGAGATGGCCGGAGCCAATAGATGGTCAAAGATTATCAGGTATTCGTAACGTTGGGCTAGAGTTTAAGATGCCAAGCGGCCCTGGGCCAAGAAACGCTCCGTCCCTTCCCCGCCTTAAGTTTCGACCCGCCGATTTAGGTTATCAAAGGGGATCGGAAGTGCGACCAATATCGCGGTGGGTGTCTTGTCGATCTTGGAACCCCAGACGTGATACTCTCGGGGGAGCGTCCGCCTGGTAGAAGTCTCCCGATTTGTGAACAGATATGCCGAGGTGGAGGCTTGCTGACTATGGCTGCTCCCAGCCACTTGGGACGGTTGATGCAGGGCCGCTCGGTAACTTTCGAAGCTTGGGCACGCAGATCCCGCGGTCCAGGGCGGGCCCCAATGTTGCCGTCTCGTCCGGTCTTCCCGACCCCCAAGAACCCGGAGCCGCTGGAATGGCCCGGGTCCGGATCCAGCTTAACCTGAACAAAGCTCAAAGTAAGCCGCGCAACACTGCTTCACTAGCGCCGTGTTGGGTTTCCGTAAGGCTTCCCTTGGCTAGACAGAAGAAACCGTTCCGAGAGCGATTTGAAATTTCTGCAAGGTACCGCAACTCAAAGCAAGCCTAGACTCTACTTTCAAGTGTCCAATCAGTTTCGCCTGCGTCGCGAACGGTTATCTCAGCTTCTGCTCACCATTGGCACAAGACCAGCCTTCTACTTAGGCTAGAGCGTAAACATTTCCGTTTCACGGTCGTATGACTGGGCTCTTTTTGGTGTAGGCAAACGCAAAGCTCACGTGGTCTTGAAATTAAGTATCGCAGATAAGGTTCCTCATTCGGCCAATTATCTTAGATCATCGAGATACCGCTGCGCACCGCTACGTGCGCAAAGGTGATTTGGTAGAATACCAAGAATCCCCTCGAGGCTCAACGTTGCGCAGTACTGAAAGTTCTCTGTGTTTACGTGGGGTGGCTGGCTGACAGGCCAGACTTCCAAAGATATCTGTCATGAGCTGAACGCTCTCGAACCCCGAGCAACCCACGATATTCCGAGGAGTTCCATGATTCTGGTTGTAGGCAAAGTGACTTACGAGGAAGTTCAGCGACCTGGTCCCTGTTTTCGACAGAAACATTCTCTCCGGCCTCAAACTGCCACGTACGCGCAGATAGGCTTGAAACTTGCTGCGATGACGAAATCGTGAAGAGAATTAGTGCAGGGAAGGGCCTTACTTTGAAGCTGCATGTTTCCGTCCCGCTCATTATCCACCGTCCCACGGACGACATGGCGGCACCAGCGGTAGACGCGCATTAGTGGCGGATACGCACGCTGAGGCCACGAGCTTAGGACTTGATAAGGATACCTGGCACTTAGTGTAGGTGTTGACTGAACCGTTGATTTCGAAATGCACACGACGCTTAGGAAGAAAAGCTTCTTAGCCCAGCGCTACAAGGGCTATTTTGCGGTTTTTGATGAGCAGTACTACTCTTTTGGCGCTCAGTATCAGGCGATCTTGTTCTGCACGCTGTTCATCATGACTCAAAAAGGACCCTGAGGTAATAGAAGCGTCGGGAGTGTGAACTTGGATCACACATGTGTCTAGACTGGTGGCGCTTTGCTAGTACTTGAGACTTGTTTTTTGTTAGAGTTATGTTCTATCTTGAAAGTATGAACTGTAATCTTATGTTGATATCGTATGTAAAGAAGTGATTAATAAACACTTCGAATGGCGGGCGATTTACATCGACTAATTCAACCGGATAGAACGCTACGCCGAGGCAACGTCCATGGCCTATTCTGCACTGAAACCACCGCTTTCCCATGAGAAATGAGCTTCAGAGTTCATACAACTGAGACTAAACGAGCCGCATCGAAACGGCTTCCTCTTGTGAAATGGAAACTGGCATCAGTCTCCTCCTCGACGCAGTCCTGTCATCGCTTCACACAATCACCATTACTTACCTCTTAGCCCCTTCCAGTACTAATCAGCGATCCCGAAACTAGCAAAAAACTTATACTATCATCTCATCTTGATACACAGTATCATCCCACCGGATATAGCGGAGGCCATGATAGTTCCCCCAAGATCAGATACTCGGGGCAGCCGCTAGCATCGGCGCCGACTCCGTTGGGCCGAGACCCCGCTTCCAACCCCGAAATGGCAACTGGTGTCTGGGCGCGCCGCCGTCAGCCCCACAAATGCACCGAAGAGGACGGACGGAAGCCTCCCCTCCGCCCCCGAATCAGGCTTGCGCCGTCTCGGCGAGCTTTATTTGCGGCACTCACTCTCACCAAGACGCCGATCTCTCTTACGGGAAATCAAATCACCGTTAATACGAGATGTTTTGATGTATCGAAATGAATTGCCGATGAACTCGGGTTGCTGCCAGATGCGCGTGTGACGCCCCTGAAAACGTTCCAAGAAAATGGAACAAACTTTAGCGTTTCCTCCAAGCCTGTAAATCATATATAGCCGGCCGAGATGTCGGGGCTGCCCACACCATCTCATGTTCTTCAGGTTCGTGGGACTCGACAACCGCCACTGCCGATCATGAAAGCCCACCTAGTCGCGATTCTGAGCAGCTTGGCCTGCGTCCAATCTCTTGCTGTCCCGGAGCCCAGGCAAGCTGGAAGCTTCCCGTCGGCAAGTGGGACGCGGTTCACCATAGATGGGCAAACCAAATACTTCGCCGGCAGCAACTCCTATTGGATCTCGTTCCTGACGAACAATGCCGACGTCGACCTCGTCATGGACAACGTCGCGAAATCAGGTCTCAAGATATTCCGTGTCTGGGGCTTCAATGATGTCAACACGATTCCCGGCAATAACCAGGTCTGGTATCAGTATCTGTCGGCCTCTGGGTCTCAGATCAATACAGGGGCGAACGGCCTGCAGCGCCTCGATGCCGTGGTTTCTGCCGCGGAGCGGAAGGGTGTGAAACTCATTATCAACTTTGTCAACTTCTGGGACGACTACGGCGGATTAAGCGCTTACCTGAATGCGTTCGGAGGCTCGAAGGAGAGCTGGTATACGAACACCGCCGCTCAAGCCCAGTACCAGGCCTATGTCCGAGCGGTTGTAAACCGCTATAAGAGCTCCTCCGCCATTTTCGCCTGGGAACTTGCGAACGAACCCAGGTGCAAAGGATGCAGCACAGACGTGATCTACAAGTGGGCGGAATCAACTTCCAAATTCGTCAAATCCCTCGACTCCAACCACATGGTCACTCTGGGTGACGAGGGAATGGGCCTGCCTGGAGATGAGAGCTACCCATACCAGTATGGCGAGGGAACGGACTTCGTCAAGAATCTCGGCATCAAGACTCTCGACTTCGGCACTTTCCACATGTATCCTGACCATTGTGAGTGACAATACCTAACTAATCCGAAAAAGCAAGGCTGACAATAATGTTTTAAGGGGGCGTTGACCTGAAAACGTGGTCCTCTGGCTGGATCAAGTCCCATGGTGAAGCATGCGCCAAAGCGGGGAAGCCCTGCCTATTCGAAGAGTGTAAGGTTCCCCCCTGTCTCAAATGTCCATAACGAAAGCTAACATCAAGGAGATGGTTCCCTGAGTGACCACTGCAACATCGAGAAGGCATGGCAGCAGGTGTCGCGTACGGCGTCTGGCCTAGGAGCTGATTTGTTCTGGCAGTGGGGAGATCAACTGAGTTCGGGACAGACGCACAATGACGGATTTACAATCTACCACGGCAGCAGCGACTATCAATGCCTGGTGGTTGACCATGTCAAGGCAATCAACTCTTCTTGATTTGCCGCGAGTGGCTTGTACATAGACGCCTTCACGGCCTTCTCGGCCTTTGACGAGTCAAGATGAGGCACTACGTCTTACAGTTGGTCTTGGAATCTGGATGTGTGGGGGATTCCGCCGATCCTCGTGTTGTGAGAAACGAATCGTCCGAAGTCTTGTAGGATGAGGCTCAATCATTCGATGCATCGAATGTCGGGTACCGTGCTTCCGCAAAAGTAAGCCCCAACTGAAGTGCAGATTAACCATGGAAATGGCCAAGCTTTGTCGGAAAATTGTAGTCTGATCTAGGATAGACCCTTCAATATTCCGCCAGCGCGACATAGAAGGATCGCCGCATAAGGTAGGATGCCACAGCCGCATACTATTGAGCAGCAGAAATACGAGGACCTGGATGCCAGATACTTCCCGCAACTGTTGCACGATTTCCGATGTAGAACAATAAGAACCAAACTCACCCCACATTCGGCTGGACTTGAGATATCCCTGACTCATTTCCTGATTAGCCAATTCTGCTTGGCAGAGCGTTTTCCAGCAATGTTTCTCGGAAATACCGTGGTATTTGCTCTGAGTTTGCTCCAATTATGGGGCGTCTCAGCTGAAGATAAGGTTAAAATCATGCCTCTTGGGGATTCGATCACAGGCAATCCAGTAAGCTCTCCAGGATCGAGACTCGGATCTAGTAACTGACGCCAACAAGGGTTGTTGGAGAGCATTGTTGTGGAAGAAGCTTCAAGACAACAATATCAAGAACACCGACTTTGTTGGGACACAGAAGCCGCAGGGTTGCGGGTTCAACTATGATGGAGAGAATGAGGGTCACGGTGGGATGCTGGCTGCAGACATTGCCAGTCAGAACTTGCTTGATGGATGGTTGAAAGAAACAAAACCAGACATTGTCATGATGCACCTGGGCACGAACGATGCGTGGAGCAACAGGAGGCCAGAGGACACTATTCAGGCGTTTGACAAGTTGGTGGACCAGATGAGATCGAGCAAAGACACGATGAAGATACTGGTGAGTGAACGGGAACCCAAAGAACTTTCTTAGTTGGTTGCAACTGACTGCTTTCAGGTGGCTCAGATAATTCCGTTAAACCCTGATGGTTGTCCGGAGTGTGGACGAAGAGTTGAAACTCTGAACAACGCTGTCGTGGAATGGGCACCGACGAAATCCAACGACAAAAGTCCTATTACGGTAGTTGACTGTCATAAAGATTTTGATGTCAAAGCAATGACACGAGATGGAGTTCATCCGAATGATAAAGGGGACGAGCGGCTGGCTAATGCTTGGTACGAGCCTCTCGCAAAGGCTATCAAAGGCTGAACATCAAATATCATATCATATTGAACGGCTATATTATTTGAGTTAGATGTGAACATGCTTAAACAAGTGACAATTTGCCCTACATTGTAAAAATAACATCAGCAGGTCAACGCTGAATTACTGACTGGTCACTCGCTTATTCGTTGCTTGCTTTCGCTACGGCCGGTCAGCTTAATTGATAAGTGAAGAGTTTGAGAAGAACATAAACTTCTGAGTGACTCATGAAGCTATACTATTTACACGAAGAGAAGTTTCTGCAGAGCGTGTTTCGCAGTGTGTTCAACTGGCTACGTCTTGGCTGCGTACAACCTTACCAAGGCCACCACCAAGGGTTGGATCGCTTGACGACCCACACGCCACGCTCCATAGTGTTGATTACGATGTAGCCGCTCTTGAAGAAGGGGTAGTGACTCCAAGTGCCGACGTAGTTGTTCAAACCACCGCCTTCCTCCTGGTCATCTTCGGGATAGATGTCAAAGTAGGCAATCTCCTTGACACCCTTCGCTGTCGGATCTTTCCGAATAGATGAAATGTCTAAGATACGCAGACCGGCACCGTAGTTGCTCTGGTAAGACAGGTCGCGGTTGATGTATTGGTTGTGGTCAACGCTTCGCACAGTTCCCTTTAACAGTTTGATCAGATTCATTGTTCGAACTTGGAGATCGAAGCACTTACCTTGAAAATTCCAGTCTGGCGCGGCGATGCGAGGCTCCTGATATCCCAGAAGTATGTGACGGGGAATCCATCAGCTGCAGGGCCAGTCTTGTTTCGCTCGTCGATCTCATCGTCCAACACGAGGAAATCTTGCCAGTTGGGGTCGATAATCCAGCCTTGATGAGTGTACGTAGCACCCTCGTAGGAAGTGCGCGAGATGATGTTGGTAGTATTCTTGTCGGTAACATCATAGCTAAGACAAGAGCGTCAGCAATCGGTGTCTTCGGGGAGTTGGCTCAATACGCCCGACTTACATGGTCAAAGTGTCCTCATTGTAGCCATAGCAGATATCACGGCCCCAGTACTTGACATCAGGTCCTCGATAAACGATGCATTGCGCGTCGTGAACGTAGCCATCGCCAGCAGCACATCCGAGATATTGAGGATTGGCAATATCGGCGAGATCCAGGAACTGAAGCCCTGAATCACAAGGCAGGTTTTTGCGAGGCTGAGCACCGACGGTGACGGCATAACCCTTCTCTTCGTTGACCACAACGTTGTGGCTGCGACCCAAAGGCAGAGCCTCGCTCCAGTGTGCCGTCAAGTCGCTTTGAGAGAAGGTGATGGGGTTCTTCGGATCGATATCCAGAAGCTTCAGCGAGGTTAGTCGAATCCAGACCAGTTTGGTAATATGGTGGACAAACCTTTCGTAGATCAAAGAACTGGACGCCGTGGTCAACAGCCTCGCTGCCGACAACAAGATAGTTCTTGTAAGTTTTGATCTCGCGCCACTGGCTGGGAACGGAGTACTGGGGAAGACGGCCGAGGTAGATGAGCTTGCCCTGCTTAGAGATCTCGACGAAAGCAGCTCCATCGTACTGCCCAACGGCAAAGAACTCCCGTCCGTTAGGCGCTGACCAACCCCAGGAGCCTGATCCTCTGCCAGTCGAGTTGCCCAATGCAGCGTGGGACTGGAAATCGTAAAGATCAAGCTAAAGGGCGTTAGAATGGCAACTCATGAAATTTCACAATGGAGTTTGGCTTACATCCTTGCACCTGAAAGTCTGGAGAGGATCCCCCTTGACCAATTCAACCTTGCCGTCCTTGCAAGCGATGTAATCCTTCGGGCGGGCCGTCCATTTAGCAGACTCGAACCTGCCCTCGGCTTCAAACTCCTTCCACTGGGCCTATTCACGGTCAGTGATGTCTTGTGACCTTTTATTCAGAACCAAAGTGACTCACCAGCTTGTGTTCCATGCTTTCCTGATGAGCGGCACCAGTATCGTACCAAGCTGACAGTTCAGCGTTGGGTTCCAGTTCCTTGGCAACGGCAGCCCCCGACAGGGCGCTGACGGTCAGAGCCAGATGTGCGGTTCTCATCTTGAAATTGGACGGTATGATGCCAAGTGAGGCTGGGAACAAGCACCGGCTGTGGGTTCGGAGTGTGGACGTTGAGCGTAACAATCAAAGTCTGGTGGTCACAACGAGCAATCCATGGGGCCTTTTATACGTACGCTGTTGATCTACTGGGCCCCAAACAAAGTACGACGCGATATTAAATGTGCATTACAAAAGATCCAAGTCTTACCACAGCGGGGTAAATCATCTGTGGCCCTGCATCTTGTGCCTCCTCGCCTGTCATCATCATGCGCGGCCTGCAGAAGCCAAGGAATGGCGAAAAAAGTCGTTCAAATAGGGTCACGTACTGATCAATAGAGTTTTGCCTCAGTTACCCGCAAGTACCGGTGGCTGCGTCCAGATGCAGGCCATCAGTTACTTAGGGCGATGAAAAAGGCAGGTGGAAGTGATGTCGTAACCTCTTGGCATTATTGCCCAACTCCGTCCAAGTTTTCCCGCCCCAACAGCTTGAGCCTTCTCTATCCGACCGCTACACGTTCTCAATTCCAGCGACCTTTTGCAATCTGATGGCAGATCCGCTCTCGGGCGGACCGGACTCCGGGGTAGGTTGTCGATCGGGCAAACTCGCCGGCGGGTGTACACTACTGCATGTGGCGATGTGACCCCAAGCACGTACACGGGAACCTTTGTGAGCAGCCGAAGTCCCTTCGCGACTCACAATCCAGATAAAATGGACGGGTTGCTTGGGTTTGGTACCCAGCTGCGAGGGTTGCTGTGGTCACTGGTGATCGTTGCATGTCTGAGGTACCTTTGCATGATTGGACTCGCGTATTTGTGCGAGCTCGTTTGTCTGCAGAAACGAGCGCGAACTGGTTGGAAGCGGCTCACTGCATGTTTGCCCCAGACAAATTGATCATACGTTTTTTTCTGCGGGCATTCTCTCGGCTACGGCAACCGATACTGAGTGTTCCAGCCACCCGAGTGGCTTTTTAAGCTTGGATTTAGGCTTCTGCGCCAGCTGCATTGGGTAATTCTTGGTATCTAGGAGAAGAAAGCGGAATCTTACATATACTGTAACTTCTCCTCCCCGCAAGCCGCCGAACCCTCTGTCTAGGTCTAAAGCTCTTTTCTGCACACCATGACGGCACGGAGGTACTGGGCCCTTAAATGCGGGCTGCAATGACAAAGGACCCGAAAATGGAAATGAAGTCGATGAAATAGTCGTACTATTTGGCTCAGTTAAAGCTTATGGTGGGTACTACTTATCAACGCTTCATTCAATTGGCAAGTCGTATTGGTAGCCATTTCATTCCACAAGTCCACCTTGGAGACGTCTAGCATACAGCGCATATGAGAGAAAGGGCACACAAGACATTTTGGTAAGAATTTCTAGCGTGATTTATGCTTCGCTACATGTTGTATAAATCTGCACCAAGACTCAGAAGGTATTAAGATGGAATGCTACAAATCTCTACAATGAAAATGGCCGATGACGCTGAAAAAAATACGTAGGCATAGTCCCTCGAAATCACATTTCCTCGTTACAAAGCCCTCACCAAGGATATTTCCGAACCTCATCCTCCTTTTCCAGATCCAAACCCCTATCAAGCTGTTTTTTATGCTCGTTGTCAAGATACTCCAACAAAACCTTCTCATACATCTCTCGGCCCTTGTAGTTGGCAACAGTGTCATCCCAGCTACGAACAGCACTCGCAAGCCTGCCTGGAACGTAGTCTTCCGCAGCCAGGTCGGTGACGGGATGGAAGTAAGTCCGAATTGTGAAAACGACGGCTCGGCTCTTTGGCAAGCGACGCAGAGACTGTCTCTCGGAGCGGAAGAAGTGATTCTCGATGGCCTTGTTTTTCTCAGCTGTGCTCCAGCTCACGACAGGGTCGTCTTCGCCGCCGATGCTCCAACTCCATGGAAGCGAGTCGTCGACTTGGATGAAGTAGTTGTTACGTGAGTAAATCTGATCGCATCGCAGGCGTCTGAAGAAGCTTGCCATGCCATTGTGCAGCTTCTCCTTGTAGTGCGGTACGTCTCCGGATGTGTGGATCTCTTCAAGAGATTTTCCGTATTTATCTTCAAGCCTCCAGAAGCCTGCAAGACAGATTGCGCCAGCAAGAAGATAGTACTGGCCATCGGGGCGTTCCATCATGATGGCCAGGTCATCTTGCACCAGCTTAGCAGCGATGGCCATGGGGTCCTCTGCAAGGGGCTTCTCGACGATGTTGAATGATTCGCCGGACCAGATATTGTCGATGCCCACGGCAGTGCGCTTGAACAACGTGGGGTATCGGTTCGGCAGGTACTGCACCAACTCCTCAAGTAGTTCCATCGCAGCAGCGTAGGCGTCGGGGTGAGTTCCGACAACCTTCGAGCCCCGTTCCTGTAAACGGGCGACCTTGTCTGCATGGTACTTGGGGAAGTGGTTGTCGAGCTCGATCCATTCCTCAGGCTGGACCGACCTTAGGCCCATGGTGACGTGGTACTTCGGGCCGTAGCGAAACGCCCGATATGGAAGAGGCTTCGTTGTTTCAATTGACCAGTTGGGGTACGGAGTTGGTATGGGCATCTTGTAGAGCTCGGGCTCTTTCGACGACTTCCCATGCTTGCTGTTGCTTGGCTTCAGGCCAAGGGATATGCCTTTCCTGGATTTGAAGAAGCCGACCGAGCGGGAGATGTATGCGGCGGAGACAAGAACAAAGATACCAAGAAGCAGCTTCCAGGCTTCAGGGCTGAATGAGTTGACCAACATAATCGCCATGGTGGATGCAGAATGCGCTATCAACGGGCACAGACAGGCAAAGACTCGAAGCACGGAACAGTAATGCGTCTAAGAGGTCAAATCTGAGTTCACAACAGAAGCTGATATGTGGACAAGGCATGACATTATCAGTGCCACGGCCCTCCGAGTCAGCCGCTAACTAAAACTGGCACAGCTGCCCGGTCGCACAAAGCGCCGTATCTTTACTCCAGTCTCGTTTTCCCCGCGAGATCGGCGACAATGGAGAACCGATCCCCACAGACACCGTCCCGAGCTGAGCCGGAACGCTTGTCCGCAAGAGGAAATTACAGCCTATCGACCCTGGCCAAGCCGAACTTTGCTGGACTACCTCCCCATTAGCAACATCCGAAAGTCAAAGGAAGTTGAGATGGATGAGTATCATAAATAGGAGATGCTCACACCAGCATCATCATAACGTAACAATCAAAGTCACACACGCCTCAAATATCACATCTAAATCTGTTATCATTTGGCCCTTGCAGCTACCCAACCTTCACACTCTTCAATTCCATACTTTCACAATGGCCGCCTTCCAGCACTACGCGAAAGCCCAATCTACCTTCAACATCCCTCTGTTGGCAGGTGACAACGCCTACCTCGGTGACGTCTTCTCCAGCGATGAAACCAACCCCGACAAGCCCGTCTCATCTGGCCTCTTCCGCTTGAAGAAGGGAGAGCCTCTTACCTACACCTACAAGTACGATGAGATGAAGATCATTCTCGAGGGCGACTACACGATATCCGATGAGACCGGCCAAAAGGTCGAGGCGAAGCCCGGCGATGTCTTCTACTTCCCCAAGGGCTCGACCATCACTTTCACCACAACTGATTACGGCTTGGCCTTTTACGTCGGACAGCGCAAGAAGAGCGACTTCTAGGCTGTTGCTCTCGTGTAGCGTGTGGTACATAGACCGGGGGAACCGGTCACGGCACAAAAATGTGCAAGCAGTTAAATACATAGCATCGCTAGCTCCGTCAATTTGAATTCATGCTCCAAACTCGTCTCGTCCCGTTACCCTTGGCATGATGAATACTCTTGAGACCGAGATACTCAATGAACTCCACGGCGTCGCAGTCTCATGAATCAAGTAACCATTTCCGATTCTCAGGCCCAAAACGCCAGTGCAGTAGTGGTTGATCCGGCCATAAGTACAATTTCATTATCCAAACATTGACCGCAAGTTGTTGTCCTCCATTATATCGATCCAGTGAATCGTCGGTATCCCAATCTCGCTGTCGTAGGCTCTCCAAATGGTTTGCACCAGCTCTCTGGCAACAACCACCGGCGCAGGCGGCAGACTGCTCTCCAAGATGCCCAGCCGTCGCATAACAAAATGTCTGGCGCTGCTGATGTCTACTGAAAGATTGCCCATGGGCTCCTCCGGTACCGGGGCAGAAGCCATCTGGCTGATGTACAACGACAGGTTGTGCGAATCGAACAATGGCGGAGGGCTGATGACGCTCGACCCCGTGCCACCCATCAGGTCTTGCTGGAGCGAACCGAAAATGTTCATCATGTCAGACGACGCGGAATTGTCGTGCCGAAGACCGGTGCTAGCTGAGATGTACAGCAGCGGCTGGATCACTCGAGTGCCGGATGTCGTAGGAATGTGCTCCAGGACCTTGACGAGTCGAAGGGCTAGGGGAATGATCCACTCGTCCCATGGCACGGAGCCACTCTCCGTGACGGGGGACTCGGTCGGAAGGCGAAGCGAAACAAGATCCGGAAAGGTCTGGTAGAGGTGTAGCAACGAAGATAGGCGGTAGGCCTCTGCAACTTTTGCGAGGTGAGACACTGGCGTTGCAAAATCTCCGGTGTCAACATCCGGGCTGTCTGGAGGAAACTCCAGTTCCAAGAGCTGTTCCTCGAGGCGTTGAGCAACGATCAGATCCTGCAGCGCTGAAGAAAAGTACCGTTGCGGATCCATGCCTTGCCTCATGCGATGCCGAAAGCTTCGGCAAAGTCGAATGCAATCTGCAAATAGGCGGTTGATAACCGTGGAAACCCCGGTCCATGGATGGGGATCCCGTTCATGAATGAGTTGGAGTTGATTTGCAGCCAAGTCTTCATTGTCCTGGCTTTCGAGGGGCTCGTCGTCGCGTACCACCGCTAGAAGCATCTCGCAATATGCCAAGCTCTTGTTGAAGAAGGTCAGCATGTCCAAGCCGGTGGCGCTGAGGACTAGGGACCGCGTGTTCAGCCGCTGAATGAGAGTTCGCGCTTCGCGGAGGAATGGGATGCCAAAGCCCCGCGAATCTACCCAACAGACCGTCGTTCCGAGACAGAATAGCGAGAATAAAAGTCCGGTCGGAACGGCACGCAAGTCGGGTTGTGCCTTTACGAGTTCAAGCTCGGCCTGGATGAAGTCGGTTGCCCTACCCATGAGTCTGAGAGCAGACTGGCGCATGCTCGGCATCCTGGAGGCCAGAAAAGCGGCCGACATGCTTTCGAGTGAGCTACATACCGTGGAGGAGTTCCGCCAGTGGTCAATCGCTATCTTGCGGTTCATGTTTGCGCTCGAATCAAAGCCGGACCATGCTGGGCAGACCTGTTCAAACCAATTGACGATGAAGGCCGATGAAGTGTCGGTGATGCAGCTCGTCAACTGGTAATCTGGTTGGGTGTTTTCTTCTGCAGATGCTGTTGATCCTGAAGATGCTTGCATCACAGAGTTCACTGATGGTCGCCGGGTCGAATCCCTCACTTGGGCCCTTGAAATATCGAAGTCCGCCCCCAAAGGACCCGTCGGGGTCCCGCCCGGAACCTTCTGACGCTCCTCATCACTGCGAGATGTGATTACTGTTCCCCTAGATGAAGATGAAGACGAGGATACTGAGTTGCGATGTCTTCGGTTGTTGGACGACCCGGGGGCCTTATCCTTTGAGACGCGACTTCGAGGTTCAGGCGGAGGCGCTGCTGTCCTTTCTGGTGACGTCGTTGTGGTCGTCAGAGAGGGATTGTAATCCTCAAAAGAAAGGCTCTGAAGGGCTGGCTGATGTTTGAATGACCATCTCAAGCCCTGCGCATAGCCCCCGCACTTGATGCCCTTCCGTGTGCACTGTTGGCAAACAGGTCTGGACTCGTCGCATTTAAGCTACCCGATAAGGGTCAGCGTCTGCGTAACATTTTATTTGATTTCATTGAGCGTTTCTTGGGCTCAAGAGCAATTGAAGTTTTGATCAAAACGTACGTGTTTAGCTTTGCAGGTTACGCAGCCTGATCTCGAACGAGGGTTGAGACCCGTCCTTGTCTTGGTTGATGCCGTTTTCGGATTCCTCGGCGAAACCATTGAGTTTCGGGAGGGGAAATGCGGGTATTGTATGTCTGGGCGCAAGGGAAAGCTGTTGATGGAGTAAGCTGGTATCGAACGATATGGTTACTCAAATGGGCAGATCGGATATCAGCTCAGCAGATGTTGAAGATAGGACGAGGGAGCAGGCAGGTTTGTTGATGATCCAGAGCTGCTTTGTCGGGCGCGTTTACCAGTTTGTCGTTGTGGGAAGGGGTCGGGGTTGGGGGGCACGCATACAGCACGTCCCATCTGCGGCTGTGCGCTGGAAACGCGGGGGGAGGTGTCCATCTGATGACGCATATTCGTATCTTAACATATTGAAGCCAGGCAAATGATAAGCTAGCGGTGCCTATGATTGGGCCCAAGCTAGCAGATTGGTGTGTGAAACTGGCGTTGGAAGGGTTCCGAGAACATCCTTGTAGCGGGGAAGTCTTTGCAGCGCGGTCCAGCAAGACGACTGATTCCAGTTGTGGTTGGTGTCGCTGCGTGTTGATGCAGGCCAGCTGCTGGCCAGATTGCCGTCCAGCACCAGCGCGGATAAAGATTCTACTCGTTGGTTTGGGTATGACAAAGGCGCCAATGACAACTTAAATCGAAGAAATGTCTCCAAGCATTGGCAGACATAATAATACACATCAAACTTTGGTAAGTCTCAGAGAGGCGCGTTGACGTGACGGTGCAGATATAGGGCCGGAAAACGAAACCCAGCGTCCCCGGCTGAAGGCGAATTGATGCGTGCTTGATAGCACCATGTATCTGTAGACTCGCCCAGTGAGTCACTGGGGAAACACCAAAAGCCTTCTGAGAGAATCTCTAAAGAATCTCTTCTGTTGATTCGCATCTGTTTCTGCCTCCCCAAGGAAGAAAATACGAGAGATCGCACAGCTGGAAACACCGAGATGCCGCAACGCCGCCGAATTGTCTCCAGTTATTTCGGCCCAGCGGCGATAAGAACAAGCCAAGGGACCAGAGAGGGCAAGACGAAGGAGACCAGGCTTCCAGACCCAGATTCACGGCGATCAGGTCTGCTTACCCCGCATTATGCAGGCATCCAGGCCAATCAAAGCCTCCACATTGTGTCTTTATCTATTCCCTTACTGGAGTCTGACCCAGGGTTATGAGATAAGCCTGCATACACCCCTCTTTTCTTCCCACTTCTGCCGCGCTCGTGTCCACATCCCGTGCATTGCATCTCTGAAGGCAGTGACTTGGTCTCACCTCAGGGCTTCATGAGTTGGCGTTCTCTAGGGCTCGAATGTATATCGTCAATTTTGAGAGTTCTGGCTCTGTACTAACACTGAATCCATATGAGTTGTTCGATGACAAGAATGTGAGGTGATCAATGGTTAGTCTCAATTCCTTCTCATTATAATGTCACGATAACAGAGACAACAGCCCTCCGCCAGGTCGGTCACGAGCATTTGTCTAAAACGTAGCAGGTTTCAATGAAAAATATTCATTATTTTTGTACAGATTTGTAAATTCTCGTCTCAATACTATGAACACTATGAAATACTTTGTGAATGTGTATCCTCTCAATCGCCCAAATCATCTCTCATTATTCGTAATGCTGAGTTCTCCAAACTCATGCGACAGCCCACTTCTTCTCCCAACCTGGGAAGAATGGAGCTTCAGCCAGAGTTTGATGCGTCCAGTCCTTCTGTATCATTCCCGTCTCAATCTGAAATCGCTCATACGCCTCCAATGTTGGTTTCGCAACATGCTCCACGTGCCACACGCCCTTGTACTTCAAAATATTTTCTTTGCCCTCATTTAAGACCTTGAGCACGATGGACGGGATATACGGCTCGTCCTTGAATTCTGACAAAGGAGTGAACAAAGCCTTGAAGTTGAAAACAACGGCGCCAGAGAGGGGGAGTCGGCGTAGAGTCTGCCAGTCGACTCGCAAGTAGACGTCTTCGGGCTTCAAGTCAGGGTTCTGGGCCTCGCGGTGGGCGATGTCCGGGTGGTCGGCTGGAAGATATAGCGGCTGACCCATTTCCAGGCCCCATGATCCACGTTGAATCGGTTTGGATGTCGGCATCTTGGTGAAGAAGCTGGTTATCTGTGATCAGTGGTGGGTAGGGTACAATATTGAGGGACCAAGCTTACCGATCCATACTGAACTCCATCTTTTCCTTGTAGTCAGGAACTGTCTTGTGAATGCCCGGCAAACCCTGGCCGACCTTGTCCTTGAGGTTCCATCCAACGGAAGAGCAGACCATGCCGCCGCGGAGGAAGTATCGGCCTGTCTCGTGGTCTCTGAGCATGATACCGAAGTCCTCGGGGATATTGTTCAGAAGGACGATGAGCGGCTCAGTTGTCTTTAGGTCGGTCTCGGTATTGAGGATGCGGTTGAAGAGAACTCCGTCCTTAACCTGGAATTGGTTTGGATATCTCGCACATACGAATTGTAGAACCATCTCCATGAGCTCTTTGCAAGCAAGCTCACAGCCTGGAAGACTATCCAAAACGGCGTTTCCGTGCTTGGCGTACAGCTCCTGGCGCTGGGCGATGCGTTCGTGGTATGTGTTCTCAAGCTCGATCCAGAAGTCTGTGTCCATCTTTGTAAGGGCTAGTATTTCAACATCGTCAGTAGAGAATGACTACATCAGAGCAAGATGAACATACACATCGTCTGGTGATAGGCCCATCTGAAGGGACGGTAGGGCCGGGGGACTGCCTTGTTGATGTCGAAGTCCTTTAGCGGCGATGGCAGCGGGACACCGGACAGAGTCGCGTAGTCGGGGAAGTCACCAAGAGACCGGATGTCATCGACACTAAAGCCGCTAAAGTTGAACTCTCCGGCCGGGGCAGACCGATAGTCGGTCCCCATTTTGAGGAGGGGCTTCGGCGTGGCGGCCAGGTCCACTTCCGTGATGCCGGCATACTGGGGTCCGAGCTTGGCGAGAGTGGCCCTCTGCGACGGCGGGAACGCATTCACATAGCTCTGCTTCTCGGCCGTACTCACAGTGGACTGGCCCGGTGATGAATCGCGCCGGAACTTGTTCGAGTTCTTGCGACTGTCGATGAGCAAGCTAAGAAGGTAGATCAGACCGCCTGTGCATGCGGCGATGCTAAGCACGGTGAGTGCAACATGGGGACTCGCGAAATCAAACACAAAAGACATGGCGGAATAGCTTTGATGGCACAGATTGGATGAGCAATGAACAACGCGTCAGAAGAACGAGAGCTTGGGGTTATTTACGCGCGACTCGGGAAAACATCACCGTCTATCAAACTGACGGTCTATCGCATGCCTCTCGAACGCACATATGTTTCTGGAAGAATTAACCTGCCCATCGTCAGATGCTACACCTACGGCGATCGATGCGCCCGATACGCCATGCGGCACGTCTATGCGACAGCAGAGTCGAGACCGGCCAGAGGCACGCCCTCTTCATCTGACACCCGGAACGGGAAAGATTTCACGGTGTGAACTTTAACCATCCGGTCTGTTTGGGTCTAACCCGAAATGTCAAATCTACCCGGCGACTGTCTCGCAGCCATTTGATGAGGTTCCGATAAGAACCTGGGCAGCCAGTGCGGGATGACCCCACTTGATGACGACCGCATCCCCGGCTGTGCCCGCTCCCTCTGGAGCCCGTATGCGGAGGCCGCGACGGTGTTGCAGCTGACACTTGCCAGGGTTCCCTCGCATGGCCTCCATATCAAATGGCCTCGGGGCATTGCACCTCAAGACCAAACAGCGCGGCGGACCTTCGGGCAGCCGCACTAGAGGGCTTGACACCTCATGACGCTGTGCGCCATCCCTAGAATCCTGCTATTGGTCTTCAGTTAGAGACGCACCCTACTTGCCATCATGTCTCTCATTGGCCGGCCCTTCAGCCCCTTTTACCAGGGCCACGAACTTCCAAGACTCCATCACACATCCTCCCTTCCATTCCCCCATGAACGCCCAGACTTTTATTCGGATGTAAGATAGGTGTTTTGGTCTGATTTGCGTTGACGAACGCTTGGCAGCGTCCCTTGAGGATATCCGGGGTACCTCAGGCCAATCAGGGCAATTGGCCTTATCTGGTATCAGCGTGGTGATGAGAGCCAAGAGAATAGTAGCATGCTTAATTTTGACACAATTCGGGCTGGGTATCAACCTTATCTGATTTCGGTGATGTTCGAGTGATAGCCACAGGCTGGGGACACTGTGAGCCCGAGACACTGGAAACATTTAAGTGGTTCCGAAGTTTCCATGCCCGTTCTTGCATATGATCGGCCCGCCGTCCTGGTTCTTTATAGAATAAGAAAGGCGCGCGCTTGTATTAGCTCCCGCGCGCAGGTGTTCATCTTTACTCTTCAAGGGGCATATCGTGAACAGCTGCCAACATGGCGGAGATCATCCCGGTGACAGAATTCCCCGATTACGCCGTCGACCCGACCGGCGGCGACCCCCTTACCCATGATCTCAACGCTCCATACGACAAGGTGAATACTAGCCTCTGAAAGTAAAATATGGAGGGTTAGAAGAAGTATTGCGGGCGACTGACACCGTGTAGGGCGATCTTTGCTGGGTTCTGGTCTGCACAATCTTCTGCTGGCAGATCACGCCAGCCATTGGATTCCTGTATGCGGGCATGCATCGCCGAAAGTCGTCTTTAACGATGATCCTTCAGTCTCTCTTCTGCGCATGTGCATGCGGCATCCAGTACTGGCTTTACGGAGCTTCATTGTATCAGTCAAGGGTATCGAATCCGATCTTGGGCGACTTGTCGGTTGGCGTGTTCCACAACATCCTCGCCTCTCCGTCTTTTGCCAACTCTGATATTCCAGACATTCTCTGTAAGAACTTCGAAGAAAAGCGTCAATCGTGTGAGGCCATGTGATTAATCTTTTGCAATTAGATGCTGCGTTCGGATTCACCTTCGTCACAGCTACAGCAATGATCTTGGCAGGCGCGATGCTGGAGCGCGGCCGTCTCTGGCCAAGCATGCTCTTTCTTCTCTGCTGGACAACATTTGTTTATTATGTGTCAGTATGAAAACTCCCTCCGCAGAACGAAATACTCAGTCCCGGTAGTTTGGCACACTGGGAATGGAATCCCAGTGGCTGGCTCTACAACCTTGGCCTCTACGACTTCGCCGGCTCTGGCCCCGTGCACATTGCCAGCGGCTTCGGATCCCTTGCATGGTCTATGATGCTTGGCCCAAGACTTAGTGACGACGCAGTGACGAAGAAGAAATACGCGCCGCACTTCAAACCGCATAACCCGTTGTTGATGGTTCTTGGCACGGTTCTCATCTGGTTCGGGTGGTTTGCGTTCAACGGCGCCAGCACGGCCAATCTCAGTCTCCGATCCATCTACGTCGTTGTCAACACGAATTTCGCTGCTTGCGGTGGTGGAATCACCTGGGTGTTGCTCGACTACTTCTATATCAAGAAGTTCAGTCTTGTTGGATTCTGTTCCGGCATTATTGCTGGCCTGGTTGGAATTACACCGGCTGCAGGATTCGGTAAGCATTCGGACTTGAGGCGCGGTCTGTTCGAAAACTAATCATCTGCTTAGTGCTCGTGTATGTCTCACCGCTGGTTGGCGTTCTCACAGCGATTTGCTCGTACTACACCGTCAAATACCAGTATCTCTTCCGTGTTGACGACGGACTCGACATTTTCGCAATTCATGGCGTCGGCGGTTACGTTGGCGACATCCTCACCGGTCTTTTTGCCCACAAGATGGTCCCCGCACTTGATGGTGTGAGCAACACCTACGACGGCGGCTGGTGGAATGGCAACTTTCGTCAACTGGGTCTTCAGCTGGCGGGTGGAACAACTTGCGCTGCGTGGTCTTTCTTCGTATCCTGTATCTTGCTGTTCGTCATCAACAGGATTCCCGGATGCCATCTCCGCGCCACCGAGGAAGACGAGATTCGCGGTCTTGATTATGCATATATTGAGGATGCCATCTCGGACTACGACCACGGCGATCTGTTCATTCATAACGGACAGGTGGTTGACTCGCCTCCGAGAGAGACGAGCGTGTCAAAGAGCGCATAGAAAGGATATTTTGGTGAAATTAGATTACGTAGACATGGCTCAACTTAGGCGATGGCAAGAGACCATGTCAATAGACTTACAATACTGGTTCAGTACCTGAGTTGGAAAGAGTCGAGCAAGGTCACTAGATAAACACTTCAAGAGCTGTCATCTGTACGTTGCAAAGCCGACCTGGCGTCAAAACCTCGAAAAATGAAGTCGGTGAAGACACGGTGAGCATTGACTTTGCGCCAGCATGAATCATTCTAAATGAGTCGGACCACTGCATTTAACTAACGATCATTCGAATAAACTGACCTGTGAAGTGGCATTGAAGCCGAGAGCATACGAGCTGTTCGGGTTTCGGTGCCGTTCCGAAGACTTCACAAGCAACTAGCGCTTAGCATTCCTAAAGAAGACTAGTCTAACGTGCCTGTAGAGTTGGCGATAGGGACGAAACGAAGCCTCTAAAGCGTCTGAGCGACGGCGACGCTGGCCGAGTGTTCCGTTGCCCGTCACTGTGCCGTTCACGGGCTCCGCCCCTTACAAACAGCGAAAATATCACACCAGCGGTGAAGAACGCTGGTGAAACGGAGAGGCATTGGGTCATGAAATACTGATATTTCATTGTTCAGTTCAAATACGATGTATGAGATGTGGCAGCGCTGAAGTTCGCTATCTCCTGCATTCGAATTGCAAAAATTTCAATTTCGACAGCCTTCATTTCAATGTCGACAGCAGTGTATCGTCTACTAGGATCTCTGAATATTCGTTCTAAAGCCACTCAGTCTACAGCTACGGTCAGCTTCCGTGGTATCAGAATGTTGACTTGGTGCATGATTGGGTCTTTCTGAGGAGCAATAGCCAGGTGTGCGCCAGTGGGGGCTGAGCTGCGCAATGGCATGGGCTGAGTCTGATCACTAATCATGAAGATTCATGATGAAGGAAATAGTATCATAGAAACGCCTGCCTTCCCTTGTTGAACGTCTCGGCAACCCGTCCAGATTATTGGTCACTGTTAGTATTTTAACTGCAGAATATGTCACCAATTAAGCTCAGCGGGACGCTAATCTACCGTCCTCCTAGATCCTGGCTAGAGCCTGTGGGTTCTGTATGTACCAGCGAATCGTAGGGGGTTTAGTGTGCGAAGGTTATTGTACTGCCCCCAACAATGGGATGACGCTAGAGCGGAGTTTCGGTACTCGGCAAGTCCACTCACTCCCAGTGCTTTGGTTCTCACACCATGAACGTACTTTTTCGTCTCCCCTTACCTCAACAACTGTAGGCGCAGCTCAACTTAACGGGCTTGAATCATGAATTTGAGCAACTGCTTCTCATCAATCGTTTGTTCTGTTGATGCGTAAATCATTCTGCAGGCCACTCAGTTGCCCCCAGCTCAAGGCAAACCTCACCGCAACTTGAGACCCCTTCTCAAAGATTGTTAAGATGGAAAGATCATCTGGACACAAGCGGAAGAGGACAGGGTGTCTAGGTTGCAGAGCTAGGAGAAAGAAATGCGACGAGAGGCAGCCCATATGTTCCTTATGCTCAAGGAAAGGCACAGAGTGCGTCTGGCCAGATAATTGGACGGCACCCCAGACGGTCGACTCTTTTTGCTGTGAGTGAAACCCGCAAGACTATCGTGTCTTTATGCTGTGTGCCACATACTCAAAGCTAATCTTGCTTATGATGTATGATACTGTAGTCGACCCTGCGGCTGCATCTTCGACTTCTGGACCTCAGACAAGTGTCAGCAGACGAGGACCGAACCTCAGCTTCCTACCAGCTGGCCCTTTGTGGACAGCTTCGCGGGCGAGCAATGTCAACTCCAATAGTGACAGCAACTCACCTTCAGAGTCAGCCAAAGACTACGGTCCGAGAAAGAGATCTCCAGAGAGCCTTCGGTCACAAGCCGAACACCTCCGCATGGCCCCTAAGATTTCTCATGTCCCACTCATCGTCCCACCAGATCTTGACTGCTATGAGGGATCTTTCCAGATGCTCTTCCAGCACTTCCTTTCACGATCGATGCCGTCAATGTCCGTCGACAACGTCGACACTGAGCTTTACGTCAGCACCCTGCTCCCTGTCATCGTGAGCGACAATCTGGTACTTCGGTCTGTCCTAGCGCTCAGCAGCTTGCAGTACATGCTGAGCCACCCTGAGAATGATAAGGCTCTCAAGCTTGCTAGCACTTGCTACTCCAAAGCCTTATCCGCAATGAGGGCTCGTGTTGCGTTGAGCGGGACTGGCGCCCAGGACGACCGGCCGGACTGCCTCTGTGCGGCGAGTCTGATGCTGGCCTTGACGGAATCTGCTCGCGGAGACTCGACCCGAAACCACGTCGACTTTGCCAGCCACGTACTCCAGAACATGTCAAATTCGGTACGCCTGGGGATCAACCAGAAGTTATACAGGAACATGCTGAGGGTCTGCATGTTCCTGCGCGTGGATGAAGCTGTGGAGACCATCCCTTCACCCTTCACATCCGCTCAACTTGTCAATCAAATGGACATGCCCATACTCGCCGGTCACCTGTGGGACGCTGAACACAGAGCCTCGGCGACAGAGCTCAGCGAAGAGTGCGGACTCTTCCAGACGCCGTTCATTGCTGGGCTTCTGACGATCCATCATCTGGCCCGGCTCCGAGCCGCGGACGGCGCGGCCAACATCGACAAAGACGAACGCGTCACACAACTATTGGCGATTGAGATGCAAATCATGTCGTGGGAGCCAGCACTACCACACACAAGCCTGCGAGTGCGGCAAGTCTGGACGCTGTGGCGATTGGCTATGCTCATACTGCTTTACGAATCACCCGTGGACGGCAAATTCTGGCAAGCATCGCGGCGAAACGACTGCTACGAGTCTTTCATGAAGGAGTTGAAGTTGGTGCCAAAGGGGCATGAGAGCATCGGAGTGATGCTGTGGCCAATCTCGATGGCCGGATCCTGCGCGCAGTCTTCTGCTCACAGGGAGCTGATTCAGCAGCAACTCACTGAGTCGTGCGACACTCTGTCTGCGAGAATGCTAGCTGTGGTTGCAAACATGCTTCAGCAGATGTGGGACGGAACTGCGGCGAATCTTGCAGACGATAAGAGAGAAGAAGAGCTGGTGATTGACCCAAGCCTCATCTCGCCGGAAAGCCTGCAAGAAGCATGAACGGGGGAACACAAGGCATGACTCTCATGAGCACTGTTTCTCTACGCGATCTCCGACGATTAAGCGGAGATCCAGCAAGTCATGTTACGGGTACTACATTCCCTGAATCCGCCATGCAACTCCGCTATCGGCATTGGATCGCAAGTATCCATGCCCACAATGAGAGTCTCTGTGACGTCGAACATCAGAAACTTTTCTATCGTGGCCTCAGACGGAGAGAAGGTAACGAAAAGTTCCTGAATCTTTCTTGCAGACGTACCAGGACACGCACCCTTCTGTACAGCGACGGATAGTGGGACAACCTTGGCAATGGAGATTCTAATCATGGAATTTGTACCGCCATAACAAAATTCAGGGCCTAATTAACCCCAAGCCAATGCGGGTCAATGTACGTATCTTTCGGTGCCCCTCCATCCTCACGCGTGTGCTTTCAGTCAACAGTGTCTGTATTTCTGACGAAAATTGTTGTTGACGGACGAGCAATCCAAGCTTCAAAGTTTGTATCAGAAGACTCACTCAGTATGGAATCACAGGTGAGGACGCCGGCCAAGCAAAACAGCTGGATGCCCCTCATCAACAAGGTCGATAAGTACGTCAATTACCCCGCCTCACTCATCCTCATCTTGTCATCCACCCTGACTCCCTCACCAGTGTCCCCCTTGACTTCGACTTCAACACGCTCTACAAGCTCTACCTCCCGAAGGATCACCGCCCGCATGGGTTCATGCTCCAAAGTACTGTCGAGCGTCTCCCCTGGACCGCAGACTTCAGCATCGACCATGACGAGCGCAAGGTGCGCCTCCTCGACACCATAGCAAAGGACGGCGACGATGCTGGCAAGGCCGCCACCGCAGCGATCCAGCGCGTCGTCGACGCCGCCATCAATTTCACCGACAAGTTCCCGACGCTGAGCGGCCGACACAGCGAGCACTTCCGCATCCTCGGCGCGAACGAGTCCGTCTCCATTGAGCGCTTCCCTGCTCCGCTGTTCGGCATCTCCTCGCGAGGGGCGCACATGACCGCGTACGTCAAGAGCGCCGAGGGCATGCGTATCTGGGTCCCTCGCCGCAGCGCGCACCTGTTCACCTTTCCCGACCTGCTGGACACCACTGTGGCTGGAGGCGTCAAGGCCGAAGACTCGCCGTTCGACTGCATCGTCGCCGAGGCCACCGAGGAGGCCTCGCTCCCGGCCGACTTTGTGAAAGAGAACGCGCGGGCGGTTGGCGCGGTCACTTACGTTAGCATGAATGAGACTAAGGGCACGTTCTTCCCGACGGTACTGTACTGCTACGATCTCGAGCTGCCCGAGGCGATCGAGCCTGTGCCCGGGGATGACGAGGTGTCGGGCTTCGAGCTCATGACCATTGCGGAAGTGAAGAGGAATATGTTGGAGGGACAGTTCAAGCCCAACTGCGTGCTTGTGATGCTTGATTTCTTCATTCGACACAACATCATCACGTCGGAGAACGAGGAGCATTACGTGGAGATTGTAACGAGGTTGCGGCGACACCTGCCTGTTCCCACGTATCCTGAGCCAGGAAAGCAAGTGATTCAATGATGTCGGAATGCGAATAGATTCTACTCATACCATTCATGATAGACGCATATATACATCATTGATTCCGCTCATTACAGCTTCTTGCACAGTCTCGTACCATACTCGATCTCCTCCCAGCCCTCCGTCCCAGGCGTGGAGACGGCGTATAAAACACCCTCTGGATCCCACTTCTTGCGCAGGTCAAACAGGGCAGGATACAGCGGACCCCAGAAATGTTCTTGCCAGTTAGCCTGATAGGGGTCGGCCTGCATGATAAAGGTCAGTTGCTGTGTTCTTCGCAGTGTTCGTCGGGGTACCACTCACCTCATTCACGTATGTGGCACCATCAGGTCCGGCTTGCCGCAAAGCCTCGTCTTGGATATTCGTCAAAACATCCTGCAAATCCGCCTTCTGTTTCAAAGTCGCACCCACTGGCACAAAAAGAACGCTGATGACAAAGTCTGTGCCGTTTCTCCAGACCGGGTGCGTCGCGCTGTTGGCTTCGGGCCAGCTGTGTCCTGCGTCGAACAAGTGTCCCACGATGTACCCCAAGCCCTTCAAGTCCTCCCTCGGACTGATCACCGTCTTGAAAGCGTCGACAATCTGGTCATTGCGCTTCTCGACATCGGAGTGAGCGAACAGCCATCCACCAGTCAATGTGTGTCTGCCTGCCTCCTCGTCCTGGAAGAGATCGATGTATAAGTCAAAGAACGTCGCGAATTCCTTGGTAGAATGCTCAAATGACACATTGTTCGCCTTCAGCTCCGCAATCATCGGCTCAAGAATCTTGTCCAGCTCGCCCTGCGTCTTGCCCACAGCCACAAAAGGCTGCACCTCGAGCATCATCGCACCGAGTTCAAAGTAGACGTACAGCCCGTGGTCTACGAGGTGGTTCGACCACTTGTGGAACACGCGTACGCCCTCCCAGAACACGTCTTCGTCCTCTGTCAGCGTGCTGTTGATGTACAACACGCCCCCAGCCGCCTTCTCTTCCGCGTACGTGCGGAAGGTGACGGATGTGACGACGGCGTACGACGAAGGGCCGCCCCCCTTGAGCCCGAAGAACAGGTCGGGGTTCTCGTCAGCGTTGGCGATGACGTACTCTCCGTCGGCAGTGATTGCCTCGAACTCGAGCGCGTTGTCGGCGGCCATGCCGTGGAGTGGTGTCAACGGGCCATGGCCGCCGCCCTGGACGAGGCCGCCCGCAACGCCGACGGTCGGGCACTCGCCCGTGACGACGAGGAGGGGCGGGTCTTGGGCGTTGGCTGCGCAGAGCAGAGCGCGGCCTTGCACGCCGGCGCCGACGGTGACGGTCCCTCCGGTGTAGTTCCCGGGACCGGCCCACGTGTCGCTGAACGTGATATCCTGGAAGCTGTGGGTGTTGATGATGAGGGAACCCCAGCCTACACTGCGACCGATGAAGTCGTGGCCTGTGTTGCGGATGATGAGGCGGAGGTTGTTCTCGCGCGCGAAGTCGACGCCGGCTTTGATGTGGTCCTTCTTGGTAGCTGTCACCACGTAGACGCCGTAGTATCCCAAGGTGCAGGGCTGCGTGGGGTCTTGGGTTGGTAGACAGGTTGTGTTAGTGAAGTATTTCCATAAAACGGCGCCGGGTTGATCGGTCCTGTGAGTGAGTGCGTGTGTCAGTTTCTCGCCCTGCTATGTGGTGAGGTCTGAAGATGACCCGGGGATTGATTTACGTCCACTGCTCCTTGTCCCAGTTCGCAGTTACTTCAGCACACTTTGCGGCATCATATGTCGAGATGTTGCCGAGGGTTCCTTCAAAGGTGTTGTGACACACCGCCTCAGGAGGGACATGGACAGCCAAATTCCCATTCACAGTGGCATTAAGATTTGCCCAGGCTTCTGCCTTGGGCCAGCAATCATCGCCGAAGTAGGATCTGCAGCCGTACTCCTGGCCCTGCCATGTCCGGGGAACAAGTTCGCCAGCGAGAACGTTATGAGCGAGCAGAGCGCCGGCGAGAGCAAGAACTGACTTCTGAATCATGATGGCAACCGAATCATTGGCTCAACAATACATGCCATGTTCTTCACTGCGGGGGATGATGTTCGGATTATGTACCTGGGCCATTTTGCTCCAGTGATAACAAGCAGGTCTTAGACAACACGGGTCCAGGAAGCTCAGCTTCCTTCATCGGTACCCCCCCCCCCCCTTCACGACCACGGAATCTGGTGTTGCCAAGAACTCGCGAATGCAGACTACGACTGACGATGCGACTCAAAGTCTGCAGCTCCAGTCTAGATCGTCTCTGCCCCGAGCTCTCACGCCGTCGAACACCCTGGCCAGTTCGGTTCGCTTCGCCATGGCGTAGATGAGGTGACATCAGACCTGCCGGTGGGCGGCCGATTGAGCATACGAGGTAGTTCATACTAGGGAAGAACACTTGATGAACCGTTTGAAATCATTAGCACCTGCTTGGCCAATATCGCAAAGTCCGAGATAGCCAACTTCTCTTTCCGGAAGGGTCTAAGATGGGGAATATTGTCTTCAGGTTTCAAGTGGAAGCTTTTGTTGTCAGCCCGTATGTTGCATCAGTTCCTAAGAGAACTGCAGGCAGTGCGATTCAGCGAATTGAAAATGCAGCCCCCGCTAGTGCTGACGCCGAGCGATTGTGCCGGCAGATGCAGCGGACGGGTTCCCAGGCGGAGCTTTTCCAGAAGCGAACCAATGCCCGAGAAGGGCTGCAAATAATATTTGGCAAATCAACCAGAGTCTTTCATCGGGCTGTCTAATATGTTTCTCCTGGACTTAGCGCGCAGACCCTGACAAGGGCGTTCGCCTGGAGGCTCGCTTTGCATTACCTGGAGCTGAGAAAGAGTTCTGTCAGCGAGCCCTGTTACGACCGTGCGACGTAGGCTAAGAGCTGACAGCCCGATGCGATGTTGCGCTGTCAGCGAACGCGGAGGAGATGGGCGTCTGGCTCCATACATACGATGATGGCTAAGTCGAGGTGGACTTAGGTCAAGAAACGTAGACTTGAGCTTAATAGCTTAGAATCTGCGGGAGGTAATGCCGGCCCTTCTCCGACTTTTCACAATGCCCGGCCGAAGATGCGGGTCCGAGCCATCGTGACCGAAGTGGAGGCTTTTCGGCGCGGGATACCAGCAAAGAGAACAATCATGAGGAATTCATATTCCGGACAAGTACTTTTGCTATTATCAATCGTATACCTAATCGGCTTCTGTAGTAAGGTAGCCGGCGTGAATAGTTCTGCCGAATGCTGATTCAGTTTTTGACTAGGCCGCAGAGTTGGAGAGTTGGAGAGGGTTGGAGATGTTGGAGACAGTGGGTCTTAGTGGGTTTGTTGGAGACTTCACGGGCTGTGATGATCCATAACTTGACTCTTGGTGGTCGATGGCAAAAAGCTTCATGATGTATTTGTCAGTGTCGGTTGAATTAAGAGTCTTGAGGGTTAGCGGTGTCAAGTTACTGGTCAGGCCCAATAGCCACAAAGCTATCGTCCATAAATCACTCTTACGAACTAAACGCTAGAGATAAAGCAGAACCGTCTGCTGGACTTGAACATTCAGAATTCAGAATGAAAGTGCCCTTCAACATCCCTACTCGAAAAATGAAAGCTTTCAGAACTCTTAGTTCATCATGAGACCCCAAGATCTATTCTCGCCGCTGTCATTCAAGCGCGGGCCCCCTCTCAATAGCCGCATCCTCCTCGCCCCTCTCACGAACTGGCAATGTCATCCCGACGGAACGGTCTCCGAAGATGAAGTCAACTGGCTTGAGCGATGTGCTGCGGGCGGGTTCTCCATGGTTATGACCTGTGCAGCTAACATCCACCCTTACGGCAAAGCCTTCCCGGGCCAGATGGGCATCTACAGTGATCATCACCTGGAAGGACTTCGCCGCATAGCCGACGTTATAAGAAAGCATGGGGCTGTGTCTTCGGTCCAACTTCATCATGCAGGTCTCAGAGCCAATCCTGAGTTTGTCAATGACATCGTCGGGCCATCAGATATCCCAGACAGCGGTGTCAGGGGTTTGTCGCTGAAAGAGGTTGAGGCTGTTCGAGACGACTTCATAGCCGCAGCGCAGCGAGCTGAAGCTGCAGGTTTCGACGGCGTGGAGGTGCACTCAGCCTTTGGATGGATTCCCATGCAGTTCCTCTCGCCTCTCTTCAATCACCGAACAGACAAGTACGGAGGCTCGCTCGAGAACCGATCGCGGTTCCTCTTCGAAGTCATTAGAGGCATCCGCCAAAACTGTAAGCCGGACTTCCAGATAGGTCTGCGCGTGTCTCTCGAGAGATATGGCGTCCCGTTGACAGAGATGCATGAGGTACTTGCGAAGGCGGTCAGGGAAGAGGAGATTGACTACTTGGACCTGGCGGTCTGGGACTGGAAGAAGGTGACCCAAGAGACACCCTTTCAAGGGAAGACCTTTTTGAGTATCTTCATGGATCTTCCTCGATCATCAGTGCGCATTGGGGCGTCTGGGAAGATAATGGATCTCCAAGAGGCCGTTACTGTTCTGGAGGGGGGCTGCGACTTTGTCATGTTCGGCAGGGCAGCCATCCTTGAGCACGACTTTCCAAAGCGATTGGAGGAGAACTCAGAACATCGGTCACCGTCATTGCCAGTTAGTGAAGCATACCTCAAGGCTCAAGGATTGAGCGACAGCTTTGTGAAATACATGAAGACCTGGGAAGGGTTCGTCGAGGAGGACAGATCCTAAGGACTTGGACTTATATGTAGACATAGACCCGAGACATTTTCAATTTCCGGCCCCTTAACCGCCATCTCTACTTTTTATTAGGAAATCAATTCTGGATGAATTTCAGAACACAATGGGTATATAAAAGCGATGGTAGGTACAGGTCGACCTAGCAAAAGATGGTTGCAGAATGATGCAGTTGCCCAAAATGGCTTAGCTATGTGATGTCGATGGCCTCATTTATCTCGCCACCGTTCTTCCTCCCCCTCAATCCACACCACACAATCATTCATTCAAACGAATGTTTTCTATGCCGTTATCCACATAGTAAAAGCACCAGCCACGAACAGCGCCAATATCGCCGGCGAATTCCTTCCCCCAAGGCTCTCCTCCTCTTCCTGCACCTCCTCCGCAAACTGCCCGACGACGTTCCCCCTTGGCCAGTACTCGCACACCAAATACCACGCATCATCCTCGCACCGCTTCCTCGCGCACCCGACGTCCGTCGTATCCTTCCACACGAGCTGCGTAAAGTGGCCCGTCTCCTCGCTGAACTCGGCGTCGTCAAAGTCGTAGTCGTCGCGCTCCTCGCCCCACGCCTCGACGCTCTGCGTCACGTTGGCGTACCCCATCGCCAGGTTCTCGCCGTACGGCCCGCCCGAGTGCTCAAAGTCGCAGTCGTCCATGTCGCGCAGGTAGTCGACCGCAAAGTCGGCGAGCGTCTCGTTCCACGACACGTCCGAGGCGTTGTGCTGCTCGCGGTAGTGGTTAGTGCTGTTGAGCACGGCGGAGGTGAAGGTGCCGTCTGAGTTCCATTCCGGGACCGCGGTCGGCCGGGCCGGGGCGACGGTGGTAACCACGACGGTTTGTGCGGATGTGAGATGGAAGAGGAGCAGTGCCGGGGTGAATATTGTGAGATGCATGTTGAAGTCTTGAGATGCCAATATCGTCTTATTCTTCACTAGTGGTGGTGCAGCAACAACTGGATTTCACGATATTGCGCGCGTGTGTACGTGAGAGAGCTACAGAGGGCTTCAAAGATTCAGCATTGCGATTATCTAGATATTAAAGCTCTTGATCAGCATCTGCAAAGTCCTCTGCGATTCGACGATGCAGCGTTCCAACCAGGTTGTGCACCCTTGGCTTCTCTCATCCAGTCAGTCGGGTCGTGAGAACGTAGGATGACGCATTCTGGGCTTCTTGGGGTCCTTCCAAGGCCATGAGGGTGGCCTGAATGCTGACGAAGGCCCCTTGCTCGGCCAATGGGCCCTGGACTTGGCGGCCCGTTCAGGTTCATCGGCGGTTCGTCCGGGCTTGGAACATGCTGGTGGCTGACCGTTGTTGCCCTGCACAGCCTCCGGGGCGCTGATCGTTGTCACATTTTGGACGAACCATTTCCCCAGGTTCTTGGGCACGATAATTTGGTACTTATCCTTGCGTCCACGAGGGCTACAGTAAGAACTGCATGCTGCAGTCGGTATGATCCGAGATGGAAGGTGGATAGAGTTATTGTTGAAAATGTTGCTAGTTGGGACCGTGAAATGGGGTTTCTGCGTATGCCCATAATTAGAGGTTTCTCTGTGAGCAATCCTGGCCCTCGCATACGGGAGTCAAAAAGGTGCGCCCACAGGCGGCAAACTGAGAGAAACAAAGTTAGAAGGGAAGATGTATGGGGTTTCTGCGTACAAAAGGCTTTGCCTGGGGCTAGGAATGTGAGGCCTCAAAATGGGACTGTTTGGCGAGCACGCATATTCAGAATGAGGTTGAACTTGACATGCCTATGAGGGCTGACTTACATGCGTAAGGTAGGTAGGTATTGATGACGAAGTTTAGGTGCGTCCGTTAGCTGTGACCCGATGATGTAGGTCGAGGCCGACGAATATACTACAATAGCTTCCCCAAAAGAAACAGCCACATATTATCTAAGATTAAGGGATCAATCGCTTAATCTTTTCAACAAGCCCCTGAAGCAAAGTCGTGTTCAACATTCGTTGTGTAAGTGATCTCTACTTCACTGAATCATCCACGATCGGGGAGTGCCACCTGCTAAACACCCTGGGGCCCCTGCTGTAATGATGGGTCATATCAGCACTCAAATTTCCTACTCACCAGCAGATCGGACTCTTTTCCAACGTCAAATCTCGTCTACTTGAGAATGTCCAGCTTTGGAGCCAAAACAGCAGTCGAACGAAAAATATGTTTGGTCAAATTAGAGAAGAGTGATGGTACATCTAATAATGCAAATCATGTCTATCCGTCGCTACCCGCTACAAATGCTCATTTGAACAACAAAAGAGAGGTAAATCAGAGCGCCCGGTTCTTGGAAACGGTGTTCAGCAGCGGATGCAGCCACTTGAACGAACCCGGCTCGAACGGCTCCGACGCCGCGATAAAGTCGAACACCTTGGCCTTCTGGATTGCCGGTGACACAATGTAGGCCAAGAGAATCCTCTGCATGAAGCCCCAGGACAAGATGTACCTCGCCATGAACCAGTCCTTCGTCGTAGCCCATGCGTGCAGTCTCGTCAGGCGCGCAGACTGTCCCAGGTCCTTCTCCAGTCCCTCCATCCTGTCGGTCTTGTACTCTTCAAACAAGCTCTCCAATGCGTCAAATCCAGGGGTTCCGTTGGACTCGGCAATGAGTTTGCGCAGGCCGTTGCAGACTGCGACGACGTCCTGCACGCCGTTGTTGAACCCTAGACCGGCATTCGGCGTAAACTTATGCGCCGCATCTCCCACAAGCACGATCCGGCCTTTAAAGCTCCAGTGCTTGCAGATGCCCTCCTCGAGGCCAGCGCCGCCCGCGTTGTAGCGCTCCTTAAAGACATCCTTGACTTTCAGGGTGCCGGTAATAGGCCACTCCGCAAACCGGGCGCCGTACTCCTCGAGCTCCTTCTCGGTAAATGAGATCCGCTCCTTCGTCGGCTCAGGCAGTTTCTCGTAGCAGAAAATCCAGCCCCTTTCCTTGCCGGTGATGTACATCACGGACTGGTCCACGCCCTGCGTCTCGTAGCTCTGACCGGCGGCAGTGGGACGGGGGAACGACGCCCACATGCAGCGGTAGTTGGTCTCGTACGGCTTCTCGGGGTCCCATTCGCGGGCCGGGTCTTCTTCGAGGGCGAGGCGGCGCATTTGGCGGCGGGTGGCGGAGTGCACGCCGTCGGCGCCGATGACCACGGATCCCGCGTAGGAAGAGCCGTCTTCGCAATTGACGATGACGCCGGTGTCGGTGGTGGTGATTTTGGCGAGCTTCTTGCCGGTGTGGTAGCGTGTTTTGGCATCCTCGGGGAGGGTGTCGTAGAGGGCCTGGATGAGATGCGCCCTGTGGAACGCGAGGGGCGTTGTGCCGTGGCTGTGGCGGGTGTCAGTGGGTTTTGCTGGTGTCGAAAGGACGTTTAGGATCGGACGACATACTGCTCCTTCAGAAGGTCAAATGCTGAGGACTGCTTGAAATTGAAACCGTCGGTGGTGAAGCCCCTGTTGTCGTCCAGGAGCATGCCGATTTCCATGAGCTTGTCTAGAATGCCGAGCTGGTGGAAGACGCGCATGCTCGTAGGACCGAGGACGAGACTTGCGCCAAGATCTTCTACAATGTTTGTCCGCCTCTCCAGGACTACGAAATCGATGCCGGCATGGTAGAAGGCGTGTGCGGCGGTGATACCGCTAGGGCCTCCGCCGATGATGATCGCTTTGAAAGGCTCGCTGGCCATGTTGTGGTTGTTGCTGAAATAAGATGGATGTTGGTTAGTTGTTGAATGCTGAAGTAACATGAACTGAAGGCGACTGGGATGGATGGCATTGTCGCCGGCGGAGGGTTTTATAAAGCTGCGCTGTGATCTGCCATCTCCACTGAAGCTCGGCACCAAATTACTTTGTCCAGAGTTTCGTGCTAGTGTTACGACTCCATCTTGGCCGGGAACTCGACGGGATCCGTCTCACGGGGGTCGTCTCCGTGCGCTAGCTCTGACGGCATCCCGCTCAGAGTAATATTGCGGCTATTACACGAAGAACCTTGGAGATTCCAGGCAGTGCCTTCAATTTTTCCCGACTCTGTCCGACAAAGAACGGTGAAATGCCTTGCCGCTACATAGAATGAACCCGGGTTTGGATCGTCATCGCTGCTCTGGTTGCCGCGAGACTAAAGCCCGGGAATCCATGTATGTCAGATACCCGGGATTGAAGGTGGGTGAAGTCCGTCTCCCAGGGCTGTCAAACGGGGGTCGGAACAACTGTTGCCAAGCAGATCGATGCAGCATTTCAGCGATTGCAACGAGCATCGAACACCAAAAATGTTGCGACAGATACCACTGCGTTCGGAGAAAACCCACTGCTAAACCCAGTGAATGTGGGCAAAATGGGTTATCAGCGATGTTCAGGGTCCAGTTTGATCTGGGCGGGACTCGTGTTCGGTTGATTTACTGATCTATAGCCACGGTGCCCTGGTTCAGACCTGATCATCTTCAAAGTTGCTTTTGACGTGATTGAACCTACACAGGCGGTTCCTCCCATCAGAATCCTTCGGCATGTCATCGGAGACTTTCTCGATGACGGCGCCTCGGGAAAGCGGGTCACAGCTGCATAACGCGGACACTACGGGCCCCGAGACCCCGATCTTGACGTGTCGGGACGGCAGCCACAGGCGCCGACCCGCTTGCGACGATCTCACTCCCGCAACCCGTCCCGTACTGCGCCACCTGTTACATATGGAAAATTCAAGAGAAGTGAGAAATTGTAAGCAGTATCTTGGGCGGTTCATTTGACTCTCACCACGATGCTGTCATACGGGCCCGTCATGATGCCACATGACCACCTTTGGTAGCGATTCTGCCCGAGAGAGTGCGGTGTCGGCACGGGCTGGGCTTTGGTGTCCGTATCCGGCTTCGCATTTTGATTGATAGCTGTATGGCGTCTTTTGAATCGCTAGATGTTTTCACATACACGTTGTTGTGATTATTGCACTCATCAAGTCGTATGCCCATTGCCATCATGGCACTCTGGCGACTTACTGTCTATCCACAGTGAACGCCGGTGTAATACAACCAAGCAGGATGGACCAGGCATCAGAGCGCTGCACGCCATGTCTTTCACCCAACATCAGATCTGGCTTATATGAACTGTTTGGGTCATATACCCATTTGAGGAGTATGTGCGACCAGTTCGATTCCTTGATCATCAGACGGGACAACATAACAGACGAACATGTTCAATCCAATTCTTTCGAAGTGAAAAGAGTTCTCCTCATCTTTGGCTTACTTGACGTCTAGTGCCGATTTGCCGCCAAGTTCTCGGCAGCTTCCAGATCTGGCCAATATTGGCTCGAATCTCACATCAGCTAGCCCAACTCGCATCCATCGGCCCGGTCTTGTGTTCTCGCCTTCTTTTTCAGCACATCATCTTCAGTGTGTGGGGCAAACCCGGAAGTTAATTAGTGTATGGACTCATGAAGGAAGTCCTTTGGTTACGAGATACTAGTCTCAACCTCGCCTATTCGTCACCCCTGACAAGTCTCAGCAACCTGAATTCTGTATGTTGCGCTCTTGAAAGTTTTAATGGAATGATTGAATTACTTCAAGCAATTGATTGAAGCTACGTAGTGAGTAGATCAAATGACATCAAGTAGTTGAGACTTCACATCACGAGGCGTTCAACTTTCGCTAGGCCAAGCGGGAGTCTTAGACAACCAGCCGAGGGTGTGTCAAATCATCAGTCCACACTTACAGGGAGCTGTTCTAGCCCGCTCTAGCCAAGTAATGAAGCGTGAAGCTGACCATTGCAGAAAGCTGTTGCCTAGTCACCTCAGACTATAAAAGTCCGAATCTCTCGGACTGTGAATAGTTTTAGTGATTGGGCAATGCCGTCGACACTTTCATCATCTCAATCAAGTCTCAAGCAATGAGGTCTCTCCTGTCATTGGCCGCCCTCGTGGCTTCCGCAAGAGCTGCCGTCGATATCCTCCTGCCTCTATATGTCTACCCCATCAACGACCTCGTGAAGCCATACGATGGCACCGTCGACTGGACAGCCGCCATCGCAGCCATCGATGACCATCCAGATCTGACTTTTAATGTCATAATCAACCCACTAAGCGGCCCGCCTTTCGCCAGCGAAGCCGGTATCAAGATCGACTGGGCCAAGTGGATCGGCCAAATCAACCAGCGCCCCAACACTGTGACCTTGGGCTACATCTCGACTCTTGGAACCGTACAGACCAACCCCCGTGATATCTCGGTTGTCAAGCAAGGTGTCGACACCTACGCTGCTTGGACGACGGCAGATGGTTGGGATGGCGTCTCGTACGATATTCATATCGACGGCATCTTCTTTGACGAAGTCAACACCGACTCGGCCCAACTCGACTACTACACGCAAGTGTCAAACTATGCAAAGGCTGAAACTGGTATCGTCGTCTTGAACCCCGGTGTTCCGGTCAATACCGCCAGCTACTCGCTCTACGATGTCGCCGATGCCATCTTGTCTATCGAGACTTGCTACACCAGCGATCCGAATGCGCCGCAAGACCGATGCCCGAGTGGCACTTATACCCCCTTCACGCCTGCGTCATTGAGCGCCTTGCCCTCTGGAGCAGCTCAGAAAGCCAAGTCTGCCGTTGTCGTTCACGACTTCTATGACGACTGGGAGCCGTACCAGCCAGCTCCGCTGTCTACTTTGCAGACCGACATCAACGCCATCGTAGCACAGGGTGTGCAAAGCTTGTACATCACGCAATGGGGCTACAATGAGAGCTTCACTCGAGGGCCGGCTAGTGTGGGGACTGTGTCGAATTTATTGGCTTTGGCTCAGGGTCTTTCGTCTGGTCAGCCGCTATGAAAAGGGTTGGCAGTTTCAATCGTCCAAAAGCCCACAAAGTGGGTTTTAGGTTCAACATCTGCGGACAAGAGTGTGACTAGACTTCTCTGTACTGGCTCGAGGACATTAGTATCTGTATGCAACGACTGTCGTAGTTGAGAGGAGGCACCCTAGAGTATCTTTCTACTACCTCGGACTATGAAAAACGAGTCTTGATTCGCTCGTTCCGTCTGAATGGTCTGTACTGTGAATCCAATCGAATGATAGTGTGAAAGTTCGAAGAGTCGAGGGTACGCGGTTTACTTAAGGCTCTGTCTGCGAAAAACCTCTCAAAGCCCCCTGATAGCCTGCCACGACCACTAGCTATATGTTAAGAGTTATATTCCTAGCTATCCGAGCCGGTGATAGGCATAGAGAACAATGGGGGCGGCGGCGATAACGACGATGACGATAACGAATTCAGGACCACGCTGGGGATGGGGAGAGGAACAGAAACAAGGACAACGGATACAATAGGACGAATAAAACCATTGAAATAAAATAAACTTAACTTTAAGACCTGATGTAGATATATATCCGTCCGGGTAGTTAGGAGTTTCCGCCAGCATAGCAAAGCACTTGTGTGAAAGCGGCTCGCGGAAGCTAAGGCTGGATCCTAGGGTTTGGCTTTGGTCACCGGTATGGCAATCATCGTGATGAGCATATGTTCATCTGAAAACCAGACGTGTCATAAAACCCACAAGGCTGGCTCTCGCTAAATCGAGAGTCGGGAGATGTCACGGCCAGTTAAAAGAGGTGTAACTTCGTAAGACTCAGCTGCCAAGCATGGGCTGCATTGCCAATATACGCGCGCAAATCAGGAATGCACCCTTCCTGCCAGACAATCAGGCAGCTTGAGGCATAGCCTGATTTGTCTTTCATTGAGGCATACATAATACTGCTACCCAAGCTTACCCCTCTTTTTCAAGTCTCGCGCCTTCTCAAAACCGATCCCCCCCTTTCCGGCGAGATTTCCAGGGTTCACCATATTCCCAGCCATTAGCTCTCTTTCGCGCCTAACTCTACGCCGATATACCTATCATTCTTTGAAGACTTTTCATCATGGCTTCCACATCCGAAGACTCCAATCTGTCCTCCACGAGTCTCATGAGCGAAAGCAGCTTTGATAAGAAGACCGCAATCGCCGCTGTGGAGGCCCATGGCGTGAGAAAGAAAGACTCTGCTAGCGCGATCCAACAATTCCTTGTTGATTTCCTCCTTATAATCCCTTCAATGTGTTTCATCATTTACGGAATAGTGGCTCTCCAGAGTAACGGCCGGCCGATCGACGAGGATCCGGTTCCAGCGTTACGCATGGCCGCGACGTATAGCCCGACCGTCTTTCCCATCGCATTTGCCGCTGTTGCTGCCAACCTACTGAAAGCAGCAGCCGGCTGGAAGATGGAGCGAGGCGTCACGGTTCTGAGCCTGGAGTACCTCCTTAGCTGCCGCACCGTTTTCAGTGCAGTGACAACGCCTTTATCTCTGCGGCGTGCGAATATCCTCGTACCATTCCTCGTCGCTCTATGGGCTATGTCGCCGCTAGGAGGTCAGGCAGCTCTACGACAATGGACGCGATACCTTCACAAGTATCAGAGATATGTCCATTTGAATAAGTCAAAGCACCCACTTTCCGGCCACCCCTGCATTCCGGCCACCCCTGCATTCCGGCCACCCAAAAAAATGCCGCCCAGCCACCCACTTTCTAGATAACCTCCTACTTCTAACTACCACAACATTTTCTGTTTTTATCCAAACTCCATCATTTTTTCAGGATACCTTTTTGATTACTTAATGGTTCAGTATACCGAAAATGAGATTAACCAAGCCCTTGCCGATATGGCAAATGGCATATCGGCCCGCAATGCCTCCA